ATATATATATATATATATATATATATATATATATATATATATATACAGTGGGGAGAACAAGTATTTGATACACTGCCGATTTTGCAGGTTTTCCTACTTACAAAGCATGTAGAGGTCTGTAATTTTTATCATAGGTACACTTCAACTGTGAGAGACGGAATCTAAAACAAAAATCCAGAAAATCACATTGTATGATTTTTAAGTAATGATTTTGCATTTTATTGCATGACATACGTTTTTGATACATCAGAAAAGCAAAACTTAATATTTGGTACAGAAACCTTTGTTTGCTATTACAGAGATCATACGTTTCCTGTAGGTCTTGACCAGGTTTGCACACACTGCAGCAGGGATTTTGGCCCACTCCTCCATACAGACCTTCTCCAGATCCTTCAGGTTTCGGGGCTGTCGCTGGGCAATACGGACTTTCAGCTCCCTCCAAAGATTTTCTATTGGGTTCAGGTCTGGAGACTGGCTAGGCCACTCCAGGACCTTGAGATGCTTCTTACGGAGCCACTCCTTAGTTGCCCTGGCTGTGTGTTTCGGGTCGTTGTCATGCTGGAAGACCCAGCCACGACCCATCTTCAATGCTCTTACTGAGGGAAGGAGGTTGTTGGCCAAGATCTCGCGATACATGGCCCCATCCATCCTCCCCTCAATACGGTGCAGTCGTCCTGTCCCCTTTGCAGAAAAGCATCCCCAAAGAATGATGTTTCCACCTCCATGCTTCACGGTTGGGATGGTGTTCTTGGGGTTGTACTCATCCTTCTTCTTCCTCCAAACACGGCGAGTGGAGTTTAGACCAAAAAGCTCTATTTTTGTCTCATCAGACCACATGACCTTCTCCCATTCCTCCTCTGGATCATCCAGATGGTCATTGGCAAACTTCAGATGGGCCTGGACATGCGCTGGCTTGAGCAGGGGGACCTTGCGTTCGCTGCAGGATTTTAATCCATGACGGCGTAGTGTGTTACTAATGGTTTTCTTTGAGACTGTGGTCCCAGCTCTCTTCAGGTCATTGACCAGGTCCTGCCGTGTAGTTCTGGGCTGATCCCTCACCTTCCTCATGATCATTGATGCCCCACGAGGTGAGATCTTGCATGGAGCCCCAGACTGAGGGTGATTGACCGTCATCTTGAACTTCTTCCATTTTCTAATAATTGTGCCAACAGTTGTTGCCTTCTCACCAAGCTGCTTGCCTATTGTCCTGTAGCCCATCCCAGCCTTGTGCAGGTCTACAATTGTATCACTGATGTCCTTACACAGCTCTCTGGTCTTGGCCATTGTGGAGAGGTTGGAGTCTGTTTGATTGAGTGTGTGGACAGGTGTCTTTTATACAGGTAACGAGTTCAAACAGGTGCAGTTAATACAGGTAATGAGTGGAGAACAGGAGGGCTTCTTAAAGAAAAACAAACAGGTCTGTGAGAGCCATAATTCTTACTGGTTGGTAGGTGATCAAATACTTATGTCATGCAATAAAATGCAAATTAATTACTTAAAAATCCTACAGTGTGATTTTCTGGATTTTTGTTTTAGATTCCGTCTCTCACAGTTGAAGTGTACCTAGGATAAAAATTACAGACCTCTACATGCTTTGTAAGTAGGAAAACCTGCAAAATCGGCAGTGTATCAAATACTTGTTCTCCCCACTGTATATATATATATATATATATATATATATATATATATATATTCTTAATCAATAATATTTTTTTCCTCCTAGTAGAGATCATGGGTTGGGGTTGAGAACCATCATAGACAGCAGGGACCTCGATTTCCGGCATTCTCATGTTTGTACCAATACAACAACACAAGACTTGGAAGTGTGCCAATGAGACCAAGACAGCGGTGACCAGTATCTAGTCTCTAGAACAGAGCTGGCCACTGGCCAGGTCACGTCTCCTCAGACCTTAACGTCTCCACCTCTTCATCCGCTATATGTCCCATACTGAATGGAAATAAACGTCTGTATCAAAAGCAAATGTCTGAGAGCAATGATCTATTGAAAACACATTGTATTCTCAACAAGCATTTTTTCCCCAACATAGGAAATCCCATTATATACACTGACTGTAGGTCTCCTGTAGCTCAGTTGGTAGAGCATGGCGCTTGCAACGCCATGGTTGTGGGTTCGATTCCCATGGGGGGCCAGTATGCAAAATGTATGCACTCACTAACTGTAAGTCGCTCTGGATAAGAGTGTCAGCTAAATGACAAAAATGTACAAAACATTAGGAACACCTGCTCTTTCCATGACATAGACTGACCAGATGAAAGCTATAATCCCTTATTGATGTCACTTGTTAAATCCACTAAAATATGTGTAAATGAAGGGGAGGAGACAGGTTAAAGAAGGATTTTTAAGCCTTGAGACAATGGAGACATGGATTGTGTATGTGTGCCATTCAGACTGTGAATGGGCAAGACAAAATATTTAAGTGCCTTTGAACGGGGTATGGTAGTAGGTGCCAGGCGCACCGGCTTGAGTGTGTCAAGAACTGCAACGCTGCTTAGTTTTTCACGCTCAGCAGTTTCCCGTGTGTATAAAGAATGGTCCACCACCCAAAGGACATCCAGCCAACTTGACACAACTGTGGGAAGCATTGGAGTCAACATGGGTCAGCATCCCTGTGGACCACTTTTGACACTTGTAGAGTACATGCCCCGACGAATTGAGGCTGTTCTGAGGATGTTTACAATAGGAAAAGTGAAGTTTGAAGTTTCTTCACCTGTCTGTGTCTTATTTCAAAAAGCAAACTCCATAACTTGAAAGCCCTTATTGCGAAGGTCATTTTAAGATGTCAGGCTTGAAAAATTAGTTCAGCCATTTTGGCACAGTGACTCACTCTCCAAACCAGACGCAACTGATTCCATTTTGGCACAGTGACTCACTCTCCAAACCAGACGCAACTGGTTCCATTTTGGCACAGTGACTCACTCTCCAAACCAGACGCAACTGGTTCCATTTTGGCACAGTGACTCACTCTCCAAACCAGACGCAACTGGTTTCAAGTGACCAAGAGATGTCATGTGATCTCCTACTGTCATCCAATGGACGAACTGGGAATCAGACAGGGGATATATTTAAATCAATGGATAGGTAAAGACTTCAGCTTTCTCCTTATACGTGACTTGTTTCAGGAAACGAGGCATATGTCGCGCATCACTACTTGACATTTTTAATCTGGATAATTTATGTCTGGTTTTAGTCACCGTCATTTCAGTAATATTTTAGTCAAGGCCTTTTCCATTAAATAATGAATATTAAGGCTACCTCTAACTTCCATCGTGTTCAGTGAATCCATCACTACTTTAAAGGGGGGGATGTGAGCTTTCCAACAAGGCCAGAATTATTACTGTACTCCTAATATTCACTAAGTAGCATTAGTATTTCCAATCGGGAAGAAGTCACTGCAACTCGCATTTGTGGAACGCGAGAGAACGGCAACACAGACGAATTCCAACGCAAATGGCAAAATATAGCTTCGGATGTGATCAAAGCAAAAAATGGTCAATATGAACATTATTGTTTCTTAACAGAATAGAGGTTAGCTCCAGTTTAGAAGTGCCCTGCCCGCGCATCAGAATAGAGGTTAGCTACAGTTTAGAAGTGCCCTGCCCGCGCATCAGAATAGAGGTTAGCTCCAGTTTAGAAGTGCCCTGCCCGCGCATCAGAATAGAGGTTAGCTCCAGTTTAGAAGTGCCCTGCCCGCGCATCAGAATAGAGGTTAGCTCCAGTTTAGAAGTGCCCTGCCCGCGCATCAGAATAGAGGTTAGCTCCAGTTTAGAAGTGCCCTGCCCGCGCATCAGAATAGAGGTTAGCTCCAGTTTAGAAGTGCCCTGCCCGCGCATCAGAATAGAGGTTAGCTCCAGTTTAGAAGTGCCCTGCCCGCGCATCAGAATAGAGGTCAGCTCCAGTTTAGAAGTGCCCTGCCCGCGCATCAGAATAGAGGTCAGCTCCAGTTTAGAAGTGCCCTGCCCGCGCATCAGAATAGAGGTTAGCTCCAGTTTAGAAGTGCCCTGCCCGCGCATCAGAATAGAGGTTAGCTCCAGTTTAGAAGTGCCCTGCCCGCGCATCAGAATAGAGGTCAGCTCCAGTTTAGAAGTGCCCTGCCCGCGCATCAGTTCAGAAGAGAGACGACTGAAGTGACCACCCTGGAGATGTGTGTGTTGAAAAGGAGGGCGGGGCTATAAGCTCAAGTAGCCTGCGCACATGAAAGATGTTAATTCTGCCAATGAGAGGATTGCATTAAAGGCATGCATGCTTCTGATTGGACAAAACAGATCAGGAGCATCATGTCAAATTGAATTGCCATTAGTCTCAGGTGATCGTCTTGTTACATTTAGCGTCGACTAAAATGAAAAACTATACCCTCAGGTCTCCTCCTGTTTATACGGACAGGAGAGGAGTAAATACTGCATACAAGATAGGGACTCTGTCCCAATTATCTCTCCTTCCTCCCAAAGTGTGCTCTTGTTCCCTTCCCTTCACTGATATGAAAGGTAATGACTGGTATAAGAAACTAGCCCATGCCTCCACCAATCCAACGTCTTTAGATGTGTGGGAAGTAGGGTATGAGTGTACACTTCAGGAGGAAGGAGACATTGTTGGGGCGCACCCAGAGATTTCAGAAAGAGAAGTCCTGGTGGGAGGAATAACACAGTATCCTAAATGGCACCCTATTCCCTATACACACTACTAACCAAAAGTAATGCACTAAAGGTCTATAGGAATTAGAGCACCACTTCGGACACACTACCATTTGCAACAGAAAACGAAAATGAGTGTTTTCTTTATTGGACAACTTGAGGAAGTCTCTCCATGTTTCGGTCTGTTTTCTTCCATTTGGGACCTAATGAATAGACCCTGATGGCCCTGGGCCCATTTATCAAGTAGGGGTGCTGATTTAGGAATACTGTCCTCCCCGTCTATAATAATCTGTTTCATTCCGCAAAATTGATCGTAGATCAGCACTCTTAATGGGAGACGCTTGATATATATACGTCCCCTGATCACACCATGCCTTCTACAGTCTCTAGTTTGGGGGGTATGGGTATGGTATCAGCCACTGGTAGTCTCTCCTGTTCCTGGCAGGCCACCTGGTAATCCTGTAGGACCTTCACCACGGCACCGTGGCCAAACTGCATGGCATCATCAAGGGGAATGTTGCCCCACCTGGAGGGAGGTGGTAGAGATGAGACAGAAGCTAATTGAAGGATGTCAGAAGTTATTAAAAAATAACTACCTCTCAATAAAGACAACGGCCACAGAGAACAGAACGAGGAAGGAGATGGAGAAATAAGGCATGAGAGGCTGGGAATACAGCAGCTAAGGGATGTTGTTAGGTTGGAGGCAACGTCAGTAGAGATTGATATAGATGGACGGAGGGGTGGATGAATGAATGAATAATACAGTACCGGTCTTTCACAAAGGGGTTGACTTTGCAGGCGTCTGTTAGGAACCGTACCACATCCACATGGCCTGAGGACAAAGCACAAAATATGTACGTTAGCCTGGTAACACTTGCTATGAGGCACACACACATAATGCCTTATGATACACTTCTACTGCATTATAACACTCGATAGAAGCTGTAATAACAACTCATAAGTATCTATAACATCACTATGATGCATTATAAGACATTTTATTTTATTTAACCTTTATTTTATCAGGGAGTCATACAGATGAGCCCTGAATGACAGAAAATACACATCATCAAAATATAAATACAAAATGCAAGCAGAAAGAAAAACACAGGCATAAAAAAGCAAACACATTCATCAGTAATAAGGTCCTTAATCAGCTTTCTGAATTACCCTAGAGGCACCAGAACATCACATGTAAGAACATTTTGAAGATACAATGCCACCAGTGGAGGGAAGCTCACCCTCGCCAGCAGCCACGTGTAGAGCCGTCCTAGAGTCATAGTCCTTCAGCTCCATGTCCATCGATGACAGAGCAAACCTGAGAGGACAGGATAGGAGACTATAGCTATATTCTACATGTTAGTCCTAAGTTACTGTGAAGGATTAGTAGCTAGGAGAGAGAGTGACATCTACAATATGTGACTTCGTGGTGAAACTAAGTAAAACATAAACCCTCCTTCTGCAGACTCCTTGATTTGCTCTTTTACCTTCTGAGGGCTGACACATCTCCACTGTAGGCCGCAAACATCAAGCTCACCACAGACTTGTTCTACAGATATAGCAGAGATAAATACACCTTGGACTGGGTGGGACACTGGGAGACGACAACACCACCACCTCAATTCATGTTTTAGCAAATATGTTCAATTGTTGGTATGTTTACCTTCTAAAGCTCTCAAAAGCCCTTACCCTATCATCCCCGTCTTGCCTTCGAGGGTCCTGCTTCTTGACCAAGTGTCTCAGGTTGTCATAGTTGTGGAAGTTAAACGAAGACACCAGCTCCTGAAAGACAAATAAAGAAAAGCAGATCGTTATCAGGAGGCCAAAACATTATGCATTTTGCATATGGTTAATACTATTTAAAGGGTAACTACATAAGGACTTCATAACACATTCAAAACCTAGACAAAACACATTCATAAGAAGCACACAAGCATTTCTCACTCTGTACAAGCAAGTGCTCACTCTGTACAAGTAATTCAGTCATTGTATCATACATCACATGTAAATGGGTTACCTGGCAGAAGTGTATGCCCCGGACACTGTTTCCAACCTTGTCTAGCGGAGGAGACCAACACATGACTCCCATGACATTAGGGACCACCAATAGAACTGCTCCTGACACCCCAGACTTAGCAGGCAAGCCCACCTGGGAAAGAACCATACAGAGGCCATACAGGTTATGATAAAAGTGTCAATTAAAGCATCCAACATGAGAAAAAGAAATGTGGCCTTTATTTGGCAAATAAATGTTTAAAAAGGTTTACTCGACTATTAATACATGGCATTTAACCTCTTAAGGATCGGACCCTTTTTTTCAATTTTCGCCTAAAATGACATACCCAAATCTAACTGCCTGTAGCTCAGGACATGAAGCAAGGATATGCATATTCTTGATACCATTTGAAAGTAAACACTTTGAAGTTTGTGGAAATGTGAAATTAATGTAGGAAAATATAACACATTAGATCTGGTAAAAGATAATACAAACAAAAAAACAACCAGTGATGCAACCAGTCAGGATGCTCTCGAATGTGCAGCTGTAGAACTTTTTGAGGATCTGGGGACCCATGCCAAATCTTTTCAGTATCCTGAGGGGGAAAAGGCGTTGTTGTGCCCTCTTCACAACTTTCTTGGTGTGCTTGGACCAGCCCCGTCGATGTGGATGGGGGCGTGTTCGGTCCTCCTTTTCCTGTAGTTCACGATCATCTCCATTGTCTTGCTCACGTTGAGGGAGAGGTTGTTGTCCTGGCACCACACTGCCAGGTCTCTGACCTCCTCCTTATAGGCTGTCTCATCGTTGTCGGTGATCAGGCCTACCACCGAGGTGTCGTCAGCAAACTTAAAGATTGTGTTGGAGTCGTGCTTGGCCAAGCAGTCGTGGGTGAACAGGGAGTACAGGAGGGGGCTAAGCACGCACCCCTGAGGGGCCCCGATGTTGAGGATCAGCGTGACAGATGTGTTGTTGCCTACAATTACCACCTGGGGGCGACCTGTCAGGAAGTCCAGGATCCAGTTGCATAGGGAGGTGTTTAGTCCCAGGGTCCTTAACTTAGTGAGGAGCTTTGTGGGCACTATAGTGTTGAACGCTGAGCTGTAGTCAATGAACATCATTCTTACATAGGTGTTCCTTTTGTCCAGGTGGGAAAGGGCAGTGTGGAGTGCGATTGAGATTGCGTCATCTGTGGATCTGTTGGGGCGGTATGCGAATTGGAGTGGGTCTAGGGTTTCCGGGATGATGGTTTTGATGTGAGCCATGACCAGCCTTTCAAAGCACTTGATGGCTACCGACGTGAGTGCTACGGGGCGGTAGTCATTTAGGCAGGTTACCTTCGCTTTCTTGGGCACAGGGACTATGGTGGTCTGCTTTAAACATTTAGGTATTACAGACTCGGTTAGGGAGAGGTTGAAAATGTCAGTGAAGACACTTGCCAGTTGTTCTGCGCATGCTCTGAGTACATGTCCTGGTAATCCATCTGGCCCTGTGGCCTTGTGAATGTTAACTTGTTTAAAGGTCTTGCTCACATCGGCTATGGAGAGCGTGATCACACAGTCGTTCGGAACAGCTGGTGCTCTCATGCATGCTTCAATGTTGCTTGCCTCGAAGCGAGCATAAAAGGCATTTAGCCCGTATGGTAGGCTCACATCACTGGGCAGCACATGGCTGGGTTTCCCTTTGTAGTTTGCAAGCCCTGCCGCATCTGACGAGCATCAGAGCCGGTGTAGTAGGATTCAATCTTAGTCCTGTATTGACGCTTTGCCTGTTTGATGGTTCGTCTGAGGGCATAGCGGGATTTCTTATAAGCGTCCGGATTAGTGTCCCGCTCCTTGAAAGCGGCAGCTCTAGCCTTTAGCTCGGTGCGGATGTTACCTGTAATCCATGGCTTCTGGTTGGGATATGTACACTTCCAGTCAAAGGTTTGGACACACCTCCTCGTTCCAGGGTTTTTCTTTATTTTTACTATTTTCTACATTGTAGAATAATAGTTAAGACATCAAAACTATGAAATAACACATATGGAATCATTTAGTAACCAAAAAAGTGTTAAACAAATCAAAATATATTTTATATTTGAGATTCTTGAAAAAGCCACCCTTTGCCTTGATGACAGCTTTGCACACTCTTGGCATTCTCTCGACCAGCTTCATGAGGTACTCACCTGCAATGCATTTCAATTAACAGGTGTCCTTTCTTAAAAGTTAATTTGTGGAATTTATTAACTTCTTAATGCGTTTGAGCCAATCAGTTGTGTTGTGACAAGGTGGGGGGTATACAGAAGATAGTCCTATTTGGTAAAATACATATTATGGCAAGAACAGCTCAAATAAGCAAAGAGAAATCCATAATTACTTTAAGACATGAAGGTCAGTCAACACGGAACATTTCAAGAACTTTGAAAGTTTCTTCAAGTGCAGTCGCAAAAACCATCAAGCGCTATGATAAAACTGGCTCTCATGAGGACCGCCACAGGAATGGAAGACCCAGAGTTACCTCTGCTACAGAGGATAAGTTCATTAGAGTTACCAGCCTCAGAAAATGTAGCCCAAATAAATGCTTCACAGAGTTCAAGTAACAGACACGTCTCAACATCAACTGTTCAGACGGGACTGTGTGAATCAGGCCTTCATGGTCGAATTGCTGCAAAGAAACCACTACTAAAGGACACCAATAAGAAGAAGAGACCTGCTTGGGCCAAGAAATACGAGCAATGGACATCAGACTGGTGAAAATTCCAACCGCCGTGTCTTTGTGAGACGCAGTGTTGGTGAACGGATGATCTCCGCATTTGTATTTCCCACCGTAAAGCATGGAGGAGGTGGTGTGATGGTGTGGGGGTGCTTTGCTGGTGACACTGTCTGTGATTTATTTAGAATTCAAGGCACACTTAACCAGCATGCCTACCACAGCATTCTACAGCGATACGCCATCCCATCTGGTTTGGGCTTAGTGGGATTTTACATTGTAGAAAATAGTAAAAATAAAGAAAAACCCTGGATTTGAGTAGGTGTGTCCAAACTTTGGACTGGTACTGTACGTACGATCACTGTAGGGACGACATCGTCGATGCACTTATCGATGAAGCCGGTGCCTGAGGTGGTATACTCCTTAATGCCATTGGATGAATCCTGGAACATATTCCAGTCTGTGCTAGTAAAACAGTCCTGTAGCGTAGCATCCACGTCATCTGACCACTTCCATATTGAGCGAGTCACTGGTACTTCCTGCTTTCGTTTTTGCTTGTAAGCAGGAATCAGGAGGATAGAATTATGGTCAGATTTGCCAAATGGAGGGCGAGGGAGAGCTTTGTATGCATCTCTGTGTGTGGAGTAAAGTTGGTCTAGAGTTTTTTTTTCCTCTGGTTGCACATGTGACATTCTGGTAGAAATGAGGTAAAACTGATTTAAGTTTGCCTGCAAGTTCGCCTGCAGTCCCCGGCCACTAGGAACGCCGCTTCGGGATGAGCATTATCTTGTTTGCTTATGGCCTAATACAGCTCGTTGAGTGCGGTCTTAGTGCCAGCATCGGTTTGTGGTGGTAAATAGACGGCTATGAAAAATATAGATGAAAACAATCTTGGTAAATAGTGTGGTCTACAGCTTATCATGAGGTACTCTACCTCAGGCAAGCAATACCTCGAGACTTCCTTAATATTAGACATCGCGCACCAGCTGTTATTGACAAATAGACACACACCACCACCCCTCGTCTTACCAGACGTAGCTTCTCTGTCCTGCCGATGAATGGAAAACCCAGCCAACTGTATATTATCTGTGTCGTCGTTCAGCCACGACTCGGTGAAACATAAGATATTACAGTATTTATTGTTATTTTTTCGTGATATCCAAAATGGTAGTTACAGTCTTGTCCCATCGCTGCAACTCCCGTATGGAGTCGGGAGAGGTGAAGGTCGAGAGCCATGCGTCCTCTGAAATACGACCCTGCCAAGCCGCACTGCTTCTTGACACCCTGCTCGCTTAACCCGGAAGCCAGCCGAACCAATGTGTCGGAGAAACAGTATTTCCTTCGCGTCAGACTCATTAAAGAAAAAATCTTTGTCCAGTTCGAGGTGAGTAATTGCTGTTCTGATATCCAGAAGCTATTTTCGGTCATAAGAGACGGTATCAGCAACATTATGTACAAAATAAGTTACAAACAACACGAAAAAACACACAAAATAGCACAGTTGGTTAGGAGCCCGTAAAACGGCAGCCATCCCCCCCGGTGCCATTGTGTAACTACTGTATGACTACTGTATGACTACTGTATGACTACTGTATAACTACTGTATAACTACTGTATGACCACTGTATAACTACTGTATGACTACTGTATGACTACTGTATAACTACTGTATAACTACTGTATAACTACGGTATTACTACTGTATGACTACTGTATAACAACTGTTGACTACTGTATGACTACTGTATGACTACTGTATAACAACTGTAAAACTACTGTATAACTACTGTATAACTACTGTATAACTACTGTATGACTACTGTAAACTACTGTATGACTACTGTATGACTACTGTATAACCACTGTATGACTACTGTATGACTACTGTATAACTACTGTATGACTACTATATGACTACTGTATGACTACTGTATGACTACTGTATGACTACTGTATAACTATTGTATGACTACTGTATAACAACTGTTGACTACTGTATGACTACTGTACGACTACCGTATAACAACTGTATGACTACTGTATGACTACTGTATGACTACTGTATAACAACTGTTGACTACTGTATGACTACTGTATAACAACTGTATGACTACTGTATGACTACTGTATGACTACTGTATAACAACTATTGACTACTGCATGACTACTGTATAACCACTGTATGACTACTGTATAACTACTGTATGACTACTCTATAACTACTGTACGACTACTGTATGACTACTGTATGACTACTGTATAACAACTGTATGAATACCGTATAACCACTGTATAACTACTGTATGACTACTGTATAACTACTGTATGACTACTGTATAACTACTGTATGACTACTGTATAACTACTGTATAACTACTGTATGACTACTGTATGACTACTGTATAACCACTGTATGACTACTGTATAACCACTGTATGACTACTGTATGACTACTGTGTGACTACTGTGTGACTGCTGTATGACTACCGTATAACAACTGTATGACCACTGTATGACTACTGTATGACTACTGTATACCAACTGTTGACTACTTTATGACTACTCTATAACTACTGTATAACAACTGTATGACTACTGTATGATAACTGCATGAATACTGTATGACTACTGTATAACAACTGTTGACTACTGTATGACTATTGTATGACTACTGTATAACTACTGTATGACTACTGTATAACTACTGTATAACTACTGTATAACTACTGTATGACTACTGTATAACTACTGTATGACTACTGTATAACTACTGTATGACTACTGTATAACTACTGTATAACTACTGTATAACAACTGTATAACCACTGCATGACTACTGTATGACGACTGTATGACTACTGTACGACTACTGTACGACTACTGTATAACTACTGTATGACCACTGTATGACTACTGTATGACTACTGTATAACAACTGTTGACTACTGTATGACTACTGTATAACTACTGTATGACTACTGTATAACTACCGTATAACAACTGTATAACTACTGTATGACTACTGTATAACTACTGTATGACTACTGTTTAACTACTGTGTGACTACTGTATGACTATTGTATGACAACTGTTGACTACTGTATGACTACTGTATAGCTATTGTATACTACTGTATAACAACTGTATACTACTGTATGACTACTGTATAACTACTGTATGACTACTGTTAACTACTGTTGACTACTGTATGACTGTATACACTGTATAACTACTGTATGACCACTGTGTATGACTACTGTATGAACTTACTGTATAACAACTGTATAACTACTGTATAACTACTGTATAACACTGTGACACTGTAGACTACTGTATGACTACTGTCATAACTACTGTATAAATATGTACGTAACACTGTATAACACTGACTACTGTATGACACTGTAACTAACCTGTATGACTACTGTATACTACTGTTAATGTATGACTACTGCTATAACAACTGTATGACTACTGTATGACTACTGTAACTACTACTGTATAACTACTGTTGATACTACTGTATGACTACTGTATAACTAACTGTATGAACTTACTGTATAGCTGTACTACGTATACAACTGTATACTACTGTATGACACTGTATGACTACTGTATGACTACTGTATAACTACTGTGTGACTACTGTATGACTTGTATAACACTGTTACTACTGTATAACTACTGTATAACTACTGTATGAACTACTGTATGACTACTGTATACTACTGTATGACTACTGTATGGACTACTGTATGACTATGTATACAACTGTATGACTCTTTATGACTACTGTATGACTACTGTATACTACCGTATAACAACTGTATACTACTGTATGACTACTGTATAACTACTGTATGACTACTGTTTAACTACTGTTGACTACTGTATGACTACTGTATGACAACTGTTACTACTGTATGACTACTGTATGACTATGTATGATACTGTAGACTACTGTATACTACTGTATACACTGTATACTACTGTATGACTACTGTATATACTGTTGACTACTGTATAACTACTGTATGACTACTGTATAACTACTGTATGACTACTGTATAACTACTGTATGACTACTGTATAACTACTGTATAACTACTGTATAACAACTGTATAACTACTGCATGACTACGTATGACGACTGTATGACTACTGTACGACTACTGTATGACCTGTATAACTATGTATGAACTGTATGACTACTGAGACTACTGTATAACAACTTTTATAACGTAGACTACTGTATACTACTGTAGACTACTGTATAACTACGTATACAACTGTATAACTACTGTATGACTACTGTATAACTACTGTATGAACTGTTTAACTACTGTGTGACTACTGTATGACCATTGTTATGACAACATTGACTACTGTATGACTACTGTATAGCTATTGTATGACTACTGTATGACTACTGTATGACTACTGTATACAACTGTATAACTACTGTATGACTACTGTATAACTACTGTTGACTACTGTATGACTACTGTATGACTACTGTATAACCACTGTATAACTACTGTATAACTACTGTATAACAACTGTATAACTACTGCATGACTACTGTATGACGACTGTATGACTACTTTTACGATACTGTATGACTACTGTATAACTACTGTAAGACCACTGTATGACTACTGTATGACTACTGTATAACAACTGTTGACTACTGTATGACCACTGTATAACTACTGTATGACTACTGTATAACTACTGTATGACTACTGTATAACTACTGTATGACTACTGTATAACTACCGTATAACAACTGTATAACAACTGTATGACTACTGTATAACCACTGTATGACTACTGTTTAACTACTGTGTGACTACTGTATGACTATTGTATGACAACTGTTGACTACTGTATAAACTACTGTATAGCTATTGTATGACTACTGTATGACTACTGTATGACTACTGTATGACTACTGTATAACAACTGTATAACTACTGTATGACTACTGTATAACTACTGTTTAACTACTGTATGACTACTGTATAACTACTGTATAACCACTGTATAACTACTGTATGACTACTGTATGACTACTGTATAGCTATTGTATGACTACTGTATGACCACTGTATGACTACTGTATAACAACTGTATAACTACTGTATGACTACTGTATGACTACTGTACGACTACTGTATGACTACTGTATAACTACCGTATAACAACTGTATGACTACTGTATAACCACTGTATGACTACTGTTCAACTACTGTGTGACTACTGTATGACTATTGTATGACAACTGTTGACTACTGTATGACTACTGTATAGCTATTGTATGACTACTGTATGACTACTGTATGACTACTGTATGACTACTGTATAACAACTGTATAACTACTGTATGACTACTGTATAACTACTGTTTAACTACTGTATGACCACTGTATGACTACTGTATGACTACTGTATGACCAATGTACGACTACTGTACAACTACTGTATAACTACTGTATGACTACTGTATAACTACTGTATAACTACTGTATAACTACTGTATGACTACTGTACAACTACTGTACAACTACTGTACGACTACTGTATAACTACTGTATGACTACTGTATAACTACTGTATGACTACTGTATACTACTGTATAACTACTGTATAACTACTGTATAACTACTGTATGACCACTGTATAACCACTGTATGACTACTGTATGACTACTGTATGACCACTGTATGACTACTGCATAACTACTGTATAACTACAGTATGACTACTGTATGACTACTGTATAACTACTGTATGACTACTGTATAACTACTGTTTGACTACTGTATGACTATTGTATAACTACTGTATGACTACTGTATAACAACTGTATAACTACTGTATGACTACTGTATGACTACCACATGACCACTGTATGACTACTGTATTACCACTGTATAACTACTGTTTGACTACTGTATGACTACTGTATAACTACTGTATGACTACTGTATAACAACTATATGACTACTGTATGACTACCACATGACCACTGTATGACTACTGTATAACCACTGTTTGACTACTGTATGACTACTGTATAACTGTATAACTACTGCATGACTACTGTATGACGACTATATGACTACTGTACGACTACTGTATGACTACTGTATAACTACTGTATGACTACTGTATAACTACCGTATAACAACTGTATAACTACTGTATGACTACTGTATAACTACTGTATGACTACTGTTTAACTACTGTGTGACTACTGTATGACTATTGTATGACAACTGTTGACTGCTGTATGACTACTGTATAGCTATTGTATGACTACTGTATGACTACTGTATGACTACTGTATAACAACTGTATAACTACTGTATGACTACTGTATAACTACTGTTGACTACTGTATGACTACTGTATGACTACTGTATAACTACTGTATGACTACTGTATAACTACTGTTTGACTACTGTATGACTACTGTATAACTACTGTATGACTACTGTATAACAACTGTATAACTACTGTATGACTACTGTATGACTACCACATGACCACTGTATGACTACTGTATGACTACTGTATGACTACTGTATTACCACTGTATAACTACAGTTTGACTACTGTATGACTACTGTATAACCACTGTATGACTACTGTATAACAACTGTATAACTACTGTATGACTACTGTATGACTACCACATGACCACTGTATGACTACTGTATAACTACTGTTTGACTACTGTATGACTACTGTATTACCACTGTATGACTACTGTATAACCACTGTATAACAACTGAATGACTACTGTATGACTACTGTATGACTACTGTATGACTACTGTATAACAACTGTATGACTACTGTATGACTACTGTATGACTACTGTATGACTACTGTATGACTTACATGGAAGGCCATCTGTCCAGAGAAGTCGTACATGCCGCAGGAGTGCATGAGACTCAGGGTGTTCCTTACAGCCTCGGCACTCAGGACGCGCTCGCCGGTGATTGGGCAGATTCCCCCGTGGGCCAGCGTGGCCGCCATGACGCTTCCAGACTCGCAGGTGACCTCTATGGAACACAGCTGAAAGGAAATCATTTATTTACTAAAACAATTATATAGGGGACACTCCCAGACTCGCAGGTGACCTCTATGGAACACAGCTGAAAGGAAATCATTTATTTACTAAAACAATGATATAGGGAGAAACACGTAGGCTCCGTTTCCCAGACACATATTAAGCCTAGTCTTGGACTAAGAAGCATGGTCTACGGAGATTCACCATTGAAATTGCTTTTTAGTGAGGACTAAGACAAATTTGTGTCCGGGAAACTGCCCCAGTGTCTGGGACTCATATGCACTGTAAATACATAGGGTAATACTTTATTATAATGTCGAGTAACAAATCATCATTATGATGCATTACCAGAAATAGCAAAACCACATCAACTTCATCACAGTGTGATTGTGTATATGAGGAAGTGTAGTTTACCTGGAAATAGAAGTCCAGCGCATCAATCATTTCTGCCCCAGTAGGAAAACACTGCAGATGGAAATCAGTTCCTATGATCAATATTTCATACAGGTACAGATGATCTCACACATGAATATCACATAACCATCACACACTGAGTGATCAATATATTTCTGGTGCACAAAACTCCTGGCCTGAGTAGTAGCTACAAAGTTATCAGGTGGTGTGTCCCAGAACCACTGTAATTCAAATGTTCCCATTGCCACTGTCCCTCACTGACCTTCTTCTCTTTGAGGTAGTATCCAATTGCAAAATTTCTGTCGCCTGTTTCTTTTTCAGACTGGAACCTGAGAAACAGAGAGACAAAGAGAGTCCATCACATCACATCAATAATGTAACAAACAGAGAGAACTCAGCTTTAGAAAAGGAAGACATTAGCTAAAACTCACGTGGCATTGCTGAACCCCACGTACTCTCGACCAGCCATCTTCTTGATAAAATCCATCATCTGAGGAGAGAGGATGACAGATAGTGTATAGTAATGTATTGTAATGTAACGTATAATGTTGCATTGTATATGAATACGTTTGAATGATACTGAATGATGACACACATTAAGTCTATCTACTTACATAGTCAAACTTCTCTGCCTTATTCGAACCAGGCTGGTGACACAGAGAAAGAAAGACAGAAAAAGACAGAAAAAGACAGTTGTGTAAACGACAGGTCACCACATCAAACGCCTTTCAGTGGTCAGCCACAGGGTGGCGATGTTCTACAGGGCTTCAGGACTCAGTACGTTCAGCACACTTTAATAGTATTAATGATCACACATCTTGATGTCCTAATATGTACTACTGTACAAGGTGACAAAAACAAGCAGTTACCACAGTAGACAGTGTCCTAATAAAGATACTGGTTGTATGAAGTCTCAGCATATTACATGAACTTTCTGTAGTACAGCTGCAATAGTACACCTGTTCCAAAGCAACAGCACCTGGTCTGAAACAGGTGTATCACTGACCCAGCATTGAGAGGTTAAGGGTGGATTTGTTGTGGAATAAATTTTTTAGGGGGCTACTTTATACAAATTATAGAGCATAGCAGTGATGGCCCAAGTGACCCCAAATGTCCTATGTGTCAGAGTGGTGTGTGTAGGTGAGTGGAAGGAATCAAGCGCAGGACCCAGGATGACTTCAACCGTCTTTAGTAATGTTCCCAAAGCAACGAGAACAAGGAGTAGCCAACCCAACCGGGTGGCGCACACAATTACGCACAAAACACACAGTGCGTCAAAACAAGAAAAGCGCACACAGTGCGAGCTCTCGGGAAAACACAACGAGAGAAATAATCCGAACTTCACAGAGGCAGGCTGACAATGAACAATCACGCATAACACCTGACCCAAACACACGAACTAAATAAGGGAAACATTAATAACAAATAAGGGACAGGTGTTATGAAACAGACAAAACCAAAGACATGAAACATAGAACGGTGGCAGCTAGTACTCCGGAGACGACGACGCCGAAGCCTGCCCGAACAAGGAAGAGGAGCAGCCTCGGCCGAAACCGTGACACTATGTCAATGCATGTCCAGTATTGGGGTATAAATTAAATTGTTTCCTTCACAAAGATGCATTACACAGTAATAGTTTTATTTCAGTATTTTATATTAAATTAAAGGAAGAATTCTGAACAGATAGGCAGAAAACCAGACTTAAACCCTCCTGCTATTCCTTCAGGCTATTTCAGGCTTCTTTATCTAACTTCCACCTGGGGGCCCCTTAGTCTGGAGCCCCCTCCGCCTGGAGCCCCCTCAGTCTGGGGCCCCTTCAGTCTGGGGCCCCCTCAGTCTGGAGCCCCCTCCGCCTGGAGCCCCCTCAGTCTGGAGCCCCCTCCGCCTGGAGCCCCCTCAGTCTGGAGCCCCCTCAGTCTGGAGCCCCCTCCGCCTGGGGCCCCCTCAGTCTGGAGCCCCCTCCGCCTGGAGCCCCCTCCGCCTGGAGCCCCCTCAGTCTGGAGCCCCCTCCGCCTGGAGCCCCCTCAGTCTGGAGCCCCCTCCGCCTGGAGCCCCCTCAGTCTGGAGCCCCCTCAGTCTGGAGCCCCCTCCGCCTGGGGCCCCCTCAGTCTGGAGCCCCCTCAGTCTGGAGCCCCCTCAGTCTGGGGCCCCATCAGTATTTATACCCATTATATATATATAAATACAGTGGGGGAAAATAGTATTTAGTCAGCCACCAATTGTGCAAGTTCTCCCACTTAAAAAGATGAGAGAGGCCTGTAATTTTCCTCATAGGTAAACGTCAACTATGACAGACAAAATGAGAAAAAAAGAAAAGAAAATCAGAAAATCACATTGTAGGATTTTTAATGAATTTATTTGCAAATTATGGTGGAAAATAAGTATTTGGTCACCTACAAACAAGCAAGATTTCTGGCTCTCACAGACCTGTAACTTCTTCTTTAAGAGGCTCCTCTGTCCTCCACTCGTTACCTGTATTAATGGCACCTGTTTGAACTTGTTATCAGTATAAAAGTCACCTGTCCACAACCTCGAACAGTCACACTCCAAACTCCACTATGGCCAAGACCAAAGAGCTGTCAAAGGACACCAGAAACAAAATTGTAGACCTGCACCAGGCTGGGAAGACTGAATCTGCAATAGGTAAGCAGCTTGGTTTGAAGACATCAACTGTGGGAGCAGTTATTAGGAAATGGAAGACATACAAGACCACTGATAATCTCCCTCGATCTGGGGCTCCACGCAAGATCTCACCCCGTGGGGTCAAAATGATCACAAGAACGGTGAGCAAAAATCCCAGAACCACACAGGGGGACCTAGTGAATGACCTGCAGAGAGCTGGGACCAAAGTAACAAAGCCTACCATCAGTAACACACTACGCCACCAGGGACTCAAATCCTGCAGTGCGAGACGTGTCCCCCTGCTTAAGCCAGTACATGTCCAGGCCCGTCTGAAGTTTGCTAGAGTGCATTTGGATGATCCAGAAGAGGATTGGGAGAATGTCATATGGTCAGATGAAACCAAAATATAACTTTTTGGTAAATATTCAACTCGTCGTGTTTGGAGGACAAAGAATGCTGAGTTGCATCCAAAGAACACCATACCTACTGTGAAGCATGGGGGTGGAAACATCATGCTTTGGGGTTGTTTTTCTGCAAAGGGACCAGGACGACTGATCCGTGTAAAGGAAAGAATGAATGGGGCCATGTATCGTGAGATTTTGAGTGAAAACCTCCTTCCATCAGCAAGGGCATTGAAGATGAAACGTGGCTGGGTCTTTCAGCATGACAATGATCCCAAACACACCGCCCGGGCAACGAAGGAGTGGCTTCGTAAGAAGCATTTCAAGGTCCTGGAGTGGCCTAGCCAGTCTCCAGATCTCAACCCCATAGAAAATCTTTGGAGGGAGTTGAAAGTCTGTGTTGCCCAGCGACAGCCCCAAAACATCACTGCTCTAGAGGAGATCTGCATGGAGGAATGGGCCAAAATACCAGCAACAGTGTGTGAAAACCTTGTGAAGACTTACAGAAAACGTTTGACCTGTGTCATTGCCAACAAAGGGTATATAACAAAGTATTGAGAAACTTTTGTTATTGACTAAATACTTATTTTCCACCATAATTTGCAAATAAATTCATTAAAAATCCTAAAATGTGATTTTCTGGAAAAAAAATTCTCATTTTGTCTGTCATAGTTGACATCTACCTATGATGAAAATTACAGGCCTCTCTCATCTTTTTAAGTGGGAGAACTTGCACAATTGGTGGCTGACTAAATACTTTTTTCCCCCACTGTATACAGTTGAAGTTGGAAGTTTACATACACTTAGGTTGGAGTCATTAAAACTCATTTTTCAACCACTCCACACATTTCTTGTTAACAAACTATAGTTTTGGCAAGTCGGTTAGGACATCTACTTTGTGCATGACACAAGTAATTTTTCCAACAATTGTTTACAGACAGATTATTTCACTTATAATTCACTGTATCACAATTCCAGTGGGTCAGAAGTTTACATACACTAAATTGACGGTGCCTTTAAACAGCTTGGAAAATTCCAGAAAATGATGTCATGGCTTTAGAAGCTTCTGATAGGCTAATTGACATCATTTGAGTCAATTGGAGGTGTACCTGTGGATGTATTTCAAGGCCTACCTTCAAACTCAGTGCCTCTTTGCTTGACATCATGGGAAAATCCAAAGAAATCAGCCAAGACCTCAGAAAATAATTGTAGACCTCCACAAGTCTGGTTCAACCTTGGGAGCAATTTCCAAACGCCTGAAGGTACCACGTTCATCTGTACAAACAATAGTACGCAAGTATAAACACCATGGGACCACGCAGCCGTCATACCGCTCAGGAAGGAGACGCGTTCTGTCTCCTGGAGATGAACATACTTTGGTGCGAAAAGTGCAAATCAATCCCAGAACAACAGCAAAGGACCTTGTGAGGATGCTGGAGGAAACGGGTACAAAAGTATCTATATCCACAGTAAAACGAGTCCTCTATCGACATAACCTGAAAGGCCGCTCAGCAAGGAAGAAGCTGCTCCAAAACCGCCATAAAAAAGCAAGACTACGGTTTGCAACTGCACATGGGGACAAAGATCGTACTTTTTGGAGAAACGTCCTCTGGTCTGATGAAACAAAAATAGAACTGTTTGACCATAATGACCATAGTTATGTTTGGAGGAAAAAGAGGGATGCTTGCAAGCCGAAGAACACCATCCCAACCGTGAAGCATTGGGGTGGCAGCATCATGCTGTGGGGGTGCTTTGCTGCAAGAGGGACTGGTGCACTTCACAAAATAGATGGCATCATGAGGAAGGAAAATTATGTGGATATATTGAAGCAAGTCAGGAAGTTAAAGCTTGGTCACAAATGGGTCTTCCAAATGGACAATAACCCCAAGCATACTTCCAAAGTTGTGGCAAAATGGCTTAAGGACAACAAAGTCAAGGTATTGGTGTGGCCATCACAAAGCCCTGACCTCAATCCTATAGAACATTTTTGGGCAGAACTGAAAAAGCGTGTGCGAGCAAGGAGGCCTACAAACCTGACTCAGTTACACCAGCTCTGTCAGGAAAATTCACCCAACGTATTGTGGGAAGCTTATGGAAGGCTACCCGAAATGGTTGACCCAATTAAAACAATAGAAAGGCAATGCTATCAAATACTAATTGAGTGTATGTCAACTTCTGACCCACTGGGAATGTGATGAAAGAAATAAAAGCTGAAATAAATCATACTCTCTACTATTATTCTGACATTTCACATTCTTAAAATAAAGTGGTGTTCCTAACTGACCTAAAACAGGGAATTTTTTACTAGGAATTGTGAAAAACTGAGTTTAAATGTATTTGGCTAAGGTGTACGTAAACTTCCGACTTCAACTGTAACTGTATATCAGTTAAACTTGCCTGCTCTGACTATGTACCTTTCTCTCTCTCTGCCTGAGATAGCAACACACACACACACATACATACGCATACGCACCACCTCTCCAAAGTGGCCCATTCATTGGTTAAACTGATGCTCTCCCACCGGTCCCAGGGTCCCTCCCCCAGCATGGCGTGAGGGTGAGAGGAGAGCAGTGAAGCTGGCAGAACCAGGGTCAACACTAATGACTACACTACTGTACATGCAACTACTATCTACAGACATGCCAGATAAGCTGTGTGTGTGTGTGTGTGTGTGTGTGTGTGTGTGTGTGTGTGTGTGTGTGTGTGTGTGTGTGTGTGCGTGTGTGTGTGTGTGTGTGTGTGTGTGTGTGTGTGTGCGTGCGTGCGTGTGCGCGCACATGTGGAGCCGCGTTTCAATGGGACAAAGTCAAACTACGTCAGCTTTGGGTCAAAGATTTGCAGGTGATGTGGATCTTGGTTTGTTGTGTACATTTGCTTGGCATGTCAAACACTGAGTCACGTCAGTGGATTTGAAGCCATGTGGATTCAGCAATCATTGACAGTGACTGATATCACTGATGCATCATTGAGAGTGGATGTTTTACGGGAATATTCAGAGTCAGACAGGACATTCTCACAACATGTATACAGTGGTCTGTAGGCTGTCTGTCTAGTTACAGGACATTCTCACAACATGTATACAGTGGTCTGTAGGCTGTCTGTCTCGTTACCTTGATAAGAGAGCTAATCACAATGGCTCCAGCGTTCACCATGGGGTTGTGGGGTTTGTCTAGGCACACAAAACACAAGTTGGTTATTATCAGAGTTTAAGACAGAGTACAGTACACTCACAGAAGTAGAATTATGCTTTACTATTTGGAGACTAAAGTCTTTCTTCGAGAGCTGACGTCATGTCCACTTTGTAGAAAGTAGAAGATCCTGTCAACCTGAACTCACATTGCCTTAACTTGTACTGAAATAAAATCATATTCTTCCACCAGACTATCAAACACAACACAGTAATGTACAACAACAGTAGCAAGGCTTCCCTTACCCACCATCCTCATCCAGGTAGAGCTTGTTGAACTTGAGTCCGCTGGGCTCCATCCCTACGTAGCGGTGTACCTTCTCTGTCCCAGCCTCGTGAATGGCCACAGCATACTCCAGAGGCTTCACACATGACTGGAGACAGAAGGGCTGCTTAGTGTCCCCTATTGAGTGTCTGGGGGGAGAGGAGGGAGAGGGGGAAAACAAGAGAAGAGGATAGGAGGAAAACAGGGGGCGAGAAAGAGGACAGGAGAGAGGAAAAGAGAGAGAGGGTAGGAAAAGGCCATTAGGAGGGAGGAAACAGAGGAAGAAAGAGGGATAGGCCAAGGAAACAGAGAGAAGACCAGGGAAACAGAAGAAGAAAGAGAGAGAGGACCAGGGAAACAGAGGAAGAAAGAGAGAGAGGACCAGGGAAACAGAGGAAGAAAGAGAGAGAGGACCAGAGAAACAGAGGAAGAAAGAGAGAGAGGACCAGGGAAACAGAGGAAGAAAGAGAGAGAGGACCAGAGAAACAGAGAGAGGATCAGGGAAACAGAGGAAGAAAGGGAGAGAGGACCAGGGAAACAGAGGAAGAAAGAGAGAGAGGACCAGAGAAACAGAGAGAGGACCAGGGAAACAGAGAGAGGACCAGGGAAACAGAGGAAGAAAGAGAGAGAGGACCAGAGAAACAGAGAAGAAAGAGAGAGAGGACAGGACAGGAACAGAGAGAGAGGACCAGGGAACAGAGAAGAAGAAGAGAGAGAGGACAGGAAACAGAGGAAGAAAGAGAGAGAGGACCAAGGAAAGCAGAGAGAGGACAGGGAAACAGAGAGAGACCAGGAAAGAGGAGAAGGGAACAGAGAGAAAAGAGAGAAGAAAGAGGAAGAGGACCAGAGAGAAAGACGAGAGAAAGAGAGGACAAGGGAAACAGAGAGAGGACCAGGGAAACAGAGAGAGGACCAGGGAAACAGAGGAAGAAAGAGAGAGAGGACCAGGGAAACAGAGGAAGAAAGAGAGAGAGGACCAGAGAAACAGAGAGGACCAGGGAAACAGAGAAAGAAGGACCAGAGAGAAGAGAGGACCAGGGAAACAGAGCAGGAAGAAAGAGAGAGGAACAGGGAAACAGAGGAAGAAAGAGAAGAGAGAAAGGAACCAGAGAAACAAGAGAGAGGACCAGGGAAACAGGAAAAGAAGAAAGAAGACAGAGAAAGAGAGGGGACAGGGAACAGAGGAAGAAAGAGAGAGAGGACCAGGGAAACAGAGGAAGAAGAGAGAGAGAGGACCAGGGAAAAGAGAGGACAGGAAAAGAGAGGACAGGGAAACAGGAAGAAAGAGAGAGACGGACAGAGAGAAACAGAGGGAAGAAAGAGGAAAGAAGAGAGAGGACCAGGGAAACAGAGGAGAAGAAGAGAGGAGGACCAGGAAGAGAACAGGAGCAGAAGAAACAGAGAGAGGACAGGGAAACAGAGGAAGAAAGGGAGAGAGGACCAGGGAAACAGAGGAGAAAGAGAGAGAGGACCAGAGAAACAGAGAGAGAGGGAAACAGGGAAAAAACAGAGAAGAGGACCAGGGAAACAGAGGAAGAAGAAAGAGAGAGAGAGGAACCAGAGAAACAGAGGAAGAAGAAGAGAGGACCAGGGGAAACAGAGAGAGGACCAGGGAAACAGAGGAAGAAAGAGAGAGAGGACCAGGAACAGAGGAAGAAAGAGAGATGGACAGGAAACAGAGAGAGGACCAGGGAAACAGAGGAATAAGAGAGAGAGGACCAGGGAAACAGAGGAAGAAAGAGAGAGAGGGAACAGGGAAACAGAGGAAGAAAGAGAGAGAACAGGAAACAGAGAGAAGAACAGAGAGAGCAGGAACAGGGAAAAAGAGGAAGAAAGAGAAAAGGGGACCAGAGAAACAGAGAGGACCAGGGAAACAGAAGAAGAAAGAGAGAGAGGACCAGGGAAACAGAGGAAGAAACAGAGAGAGGACCAGAAGAAAAGATGTCAGTAGTATGAGTCACTATTTCACATTCAGTTATCTATCATCCAGATATATAGACATGCAGGGATGTTGTACCTACCTCTGTCCGTCCACTGTACACAGGGACACACCCCAGAGATCAGGACTGAACTTGGCCAGGTGAGGAATGTAGACGGCTACCTGGAACCAGGAAGTACAGACCATCAGAACCATATCACATGTAGCTAATACTTATCGTGGAAAACTTTGTTATGCACATGCGCTGTATTCCCTGGGTAAATGCGCATTATTTGGCAAAGTACTAAATTAATATTCATTGATATGCCATGGTTTGCAATCGTCAGATGTAAGTGAATGTGATTCCAGGACAGGGTCCTGAGTTAGAAGTAAGAAAATATTCCTGCAGGTTAGCACATTATTTTAGAACACCGCAATTTGACCAATGGACCCGTAGGAGAATTGGATATACTTGGGAAATAATTGGTTACGTGCATAAAACACATACATTTTGTAGTGGGAAATACTGTATGGGTATAGAATTCTCAACTACATAAAGAAATAAAAATATATTTTGAATGCGAAGAAACGCCCCCTTTTGAGTTGAGTTAACCCATGATCAATTTATTTTTGAGTTAACCCATCATTAATTTTAAGAAAGGAAGACGTTCCTAACTAAATACTGTTCGTTTTGTGTGTGTGTTTTTGTTTGTCTCCGAGTATGTGTGTGTATAGATGGAGTTTCACAATGGGAGCCAAGAGCAGCTAGGGAGAACCTTGTCTGCCCGACCTGCTGACCGGACCGGTGAAGGTAATGGTGGATGAGTGGTGCAGGGACATTCTGGAACAGGCAACGCTCTGGCCCAAGGTAGCAGATTTACCCCTTAAAAAGGCACATCAAGTGAAGTTTTATTAGCAGAATGTAGAAAGAAATTGCAGGACTTTGAAGAAACCAAGAAAGGCAAGTAGAATAGAGGGGGATGATATTAGGAAGTGGGAAAGAGAAGCAGAGAGAAGGGCAGACAAGAAAATGAAAGGGATCATGGTGAATGATAAGAAAAGGAGAAACAATGACTTTCTACCTCCCGGATCGGGTGGGGCAGGGCGAGGAAACTGGAGAACAGGACCGCCACCGAAAACGACCCTATACAACCCACACACAGACTGACGCAAGGTTGAGACAGTTGACACCCTTGGACAGCATTTAAAGATTTGTTCAAGCCCCTGTGAGGAGCCAATGGTTTGTCTCTTTGTCAATGTTGAGTCAATTGAATTTCTAGTAGATACTGGCGCTGCAATGTCTGTCATAAATTCAAAAATGATGCCCAATCCTCCCATGTCAAATGAATCAGTTAGCACTGTGGGGGCCTCGGGAGTGATTATGAAAGAGTTCATCACGATGCCCCTGCCGGTTAAAATTGATGATACATGCAGGACACATCAATTTATTGCCTCCGCATGTTGCCCTGTAAATTTGGCAGGAAGAGATCTTCTCTGTAAATTGGGAATTCATATTATTTTATCCAAATGTGTGATTGGTACTATGCATGGGACATACAGGACATTGATGGATCACATTGTGACCCAATTGAAGAGATTTTCTCAACGGCCCTGTTGGAAAAAGAAAGGCAGTTTGATGGCACAGACAGACCTACAGACAGACCTACAGACAGACCTACATTGCACCGCCCATTTCTCACCAATTACGAGAGATTTACACTTTGAGAGATTTATATTATGAAAAAAATTGGCTGAAGGAAACTGCCCCCCAAGAATGCTTACTATGCAGTGATACTCACGACCTTCCGATTTTAATGGGCCTCAGTTTTGTTTTATGCTCTTAGTATTAAAGATGTCTAAAGAACCGGCTTTTTTTGATATTTTTAGGATACTGGTGTCTGGTTGAAATCCGTCTTGCAGGTCACTGACTGGGAACTCAGAGCGGATGGGTCTAAATTCTGTGGAGACTGAGTCACCCTTGTTGGCTGGTCTCCCAGAGTCTCTGTGGGCTAAGGATAAGTATGACATTGGGCGAATGAGGGGGTTGAAACTGCTTACGTCACACCTGAGAGCACACAGACCCGGCCAAGCCCAGCATTCTCTGAGTCAGGAGGCAGTGCGGGGGATTACCCTGTTCATGCTTCATTGGTAGAAATAGGAGAAATTGTGCCTTGTCCAGACTCTCCCTGCAACACCCCCATTCTTCCTGTCCGAAAAGCCTCGGGTGATTGGTGTTTTTGTTCAAGATCTTAGAAAAGTTAACGATGCAGTTTATGCAAGAGCTTCTGTTGTGCCAAACCCCGTACAGTACTATCTGCCGTGCCGGCGTCGGGTAAATGGTTTTCAGTTGTTGATTTGGCTAATGTTTTCTTTAGCATTCCCGTCGCTCCAGAATCACAGTTCTGGTTCGCGTTTACATGATACTGAATCGGACCGCCTGCGGTGTTTTCTGTCGCTTTGGCGCAACATTTAGAGGCTTTCATACCGCCCGCTGGGAGTATGTTAACCCAACGAGCATGCGAAGTCGACACAAGAGCTCTGTTAGCGCTCCTTGCTAAAAATGGCCACAAAGTTTCTAAGAAAAAAGCTGCAGCTTGTGTCTCAATCCGTTAAGTATCTAGGACATGATATTACACCAAATGGTAGGAAATTGGGTCTAGAGCGTGTGGCTGCAATTCTATTCTATTCAAAACAACATATGTTGACACTCACAGGAATGGCAGGCTATTGTAGAGCCTGGCTGCCTGACTATGCTGAGATGGCAATGAATGACACGATACAGTGGACTCCAGGGGGACTCAAGGAGAACCATCAGTGGCTTATGCAGTAACTATGGCTGCCACTACCCTAGAGGTGCTAAATTACCACCACATATGTCAGCCCAAGCTGCAGAATTGTTTGCTCTCACTAGAGCATGCATTTTGGCTTTGGAATTGAATTTAAGTTAACCGAATTTAATTTAAAATAGATCTGGAATTAGTTAACTGATTGATCTAAGAGTTGACTGCTGTTAAGAAATGTAGATACCGTTAAAGAACTAAACAAATAAGGAAGGGTACCCAATGAATGTGTGGACGCACACAATAACAGAATGATTGTGAATTAATGATTGTATAAGGATGTTTAACACATTTTTCTTAAGGACAGGTCGAATACCCGTCAAGTACACTGCTGGAATGGTAAGTTACTATGCTCTGTGCTGCACTTCACAATGCTCTATTTTCTCAGGGTAAAAGCAGTTTTGCCTGAACCAAAGGGAGGACAGCTCCACAAATTGCAGCCAGGCAATTGGGTGGTCACCAAGGATCTCTGCAGAAAGACTCGGCACCAACAGCGCTGGACTGGTCCATTCCAAGTGCTCCTGACGACCCAGACAGAAGGTTGTGGAGAGGTCTACGTGGCTTCACGCCAGCCATTGCAGCTGTTGTATGGGCCCTGGGAGAAGTGGCCACAATGCAACTGAAGTACACAGCACCGGCAAAGTCCCACGGCGGGACTTAAATAACAGCCACTCCAGCTCGAGCCAACGGCAGGCTCAGGACGGGAGTCCAGCAAACAATAGCCGCCCCATTGTTTAAGAAGACGGAGATCGATGCATCAACGTGATGATTGTCCTCTTTGTACAGATGAAGAGTGTACTTCTGTATAACTGTTTCATTGTTTAATGATTCCCTTAAGAATGTTTTGCACCGTGTGAAGGTAAAAAACTCAGTGGCTCAACAGAAGCCATTTACAAAGATAATGTACTAGTGTATGTTTCATATTTTGCTTGGTTGAAGTTTTGCTTAAATGATGGTATAATTGGCTTATATTATGAATTATTACTTAAATGCGTACTTGTAATTTTGTATTAGGTTGAGATTAGTCTCAAAAGGGAGGAAAAACGTGAACAATTACAAACTTTGTTATGCACATGCGCTGTATGAGCCTTAAACCTGCACTTTTCCACTGTCTGTTTCTCTCATGTAAGACGAAGCCAGCGTTTTTCCTCTCTTGTTTCTGAGTAACTTAGTCAAGAGGCCAAAGATAAAGGGCCGTCTGAGAGTGACCAGTTTTTGGTCCATCGTGTTCCTTTCGTATCTTCAAGGGCACAGCTGTGTGGAGATATGAAGAGAACAGAGGCTGGCTTGAGCAGCAGCGACAATTCTATTAGCAGAAAGGAGTAACAAAACTGGCGTTATCAATTGTTTGTACGCTATGTTCCCACTATGATCTCACACACCTGCTAAACTGCCACGTAGACCGAGGTTGTATTTTCCTATATAGGCTGAGACCCAACTCTTGCTTGTTGGGTTCTTAACAATCACCTTTTGAGTGGTTGTTGACCAGCTCCAGATTTGCAAATCTTATAATAAAGTTGTTGTTTGAAGAATCTACAGTCTCGCTCTTCCTTTTGATTAGAATTTCCACAACATACTCCACACTTAAAACGTTTTGTGTGAGTATGTGCCATAGAACAACAGACAACACACTGATGGAAAACATATCAGAGAAAAAAGACAAAGTAAGAGGACAGATGACAAAAAAAGAGAGATAGTGAGAGACAGAGATGGAGAAGAGTGACATATATGAAAGGTGTAGAGGTGGAAACAAATCTAATTACATGTCCGTTGTGGTTTTTGTGAACGGTGTTGTAGATTTGATCTATTTTTGTAACGAAGGAATCAAACTCAGGGATGATGAACTTCTTTCTGAAGGCCTGGATCAGAAGCACTATGTTCCCACCTACGCACCTGAGGGTTGGTACAACAAACAAAAACAGTATTAGATCATCAATACAGAAACCCTGTCATTGAACAAGCACTAGAGCATTCTAGAAATTCTAGAAATCTAGTTCTGTGAATGAGATTAACTGTGAACTTTTCCCAGATGTTTGCTTTGAAGTGGTGACACTTCCTGAGGTGCAGTGGATGGACTGCTGTTCATGACTGAATTATGACCTCTGACCTTCTTCTCTGTTGTTGTTTGCATGCAAGACTTGGTGCTCATAAGTGGTTTGAATTGTTGTGGAAAATAGGGTTCAGCGGAGCAATGTGAGAATGTGAACTCGATTCTCTGTGACACACATGGCTAATTATACTCCTTGTGTATCCTATTAACAGCCTGACCAAGGCCTTATAAATTTTTTAAAATATGTTTTATTGTCACATACAATAATAGATAGGTGCAGTGAAATGTGTTGTTTTACAGGGTCAGCCATAGTAGCACAGCACCCCTAGAGCAAATTAAGGTTAAGTGCCTTGCTCAAGGGCATATTGACAGATTTTTCACCTTGTCGGCTCTGGTTTTTTGAACCAGTGACCTTTCGGTTACTAGCCCAACACTCTAACCGCTAGGCTACCTGCTGCCTTATGTGGTCCTCTGTAGCTCAGCTGGTAGAGCACGGCGCTTGTAACGCCAAGGTAGTGGGTTCGATCCCCGGGACCAGCCATACACAAAAATGTATGCACGCATGACTGTAAGTCGCTTTGGATAAAAACGTCTGCTAAATGGCTTATTATTATGTGCCCTATATTATTTCCTACCCCAACCTACGTCTCATCTTTTTTTTTTTTTTTTACCTTTATTTAACTAGGCAAGTCAGTTAAGAACAAATTCTTATTTACAATGATGGCCTACACTGGCCAAACTCGGACAACGCTGGGCCAATTGTGCGCCGCCCTACGGGCAAACAAAGACATTTGATAAGCCTATAACTTTGTTTAACCTCCACTCTTAGAAAGAAAGACGCTATCTAGAACTAAAAAGGGTTATTCGGTTGTCCCCATAGGATAACCCTTTGAAGAACCCTTTTTGGTTCCAGGGTTCCAGGTAGAACCCTTTTTGGTTCCAGGTAGAACCCTTTTGAGTTCCAGGTAGAACCCTTTCCACTGAGGGTTCTACATGGAATCCAAAAGAGTTCTAACTGGAACCAAAAAGGGTTCTACCTGGAACCAAAAAGGGTTCTCCTATTGGGAAAGATGAAGAACCCTTTTGGAACCCTTTTTTCTAAAGAGTGTAGACTACTGTGCAGATATAAGGAACATTGGTTTTCCCCACTCGATCAAGATGCCTGGACTGTCAAAGTCTACTTTATACGTCAATAATTTACTCTTTAACTGAATTTTCATGAAACGACATGCATATCCACAGCTGAAACACAAAGCTGTAACAGGTCAACTGATAAAGGGTTACATCTAATTCCAATCACAATTTACTTTGGCTGTGTGTCTGTGTGTGTGTGTGTGCGTGTGTGTGTGTGTGTATGTGTCCCCAAGGACCAAGGCAGCTGGCACCTATCTATCTGAGTCATACCCTGCTCTGTTGCCCACACAAGACTACCCGTATCCTCCCACTGCCCTCAGCCCACTGTCCTCAGCCCACTGCCCTCAGCCCACTGTCCTCAGCCCACTGTCCTCAGCCCACTGCCCCTCAGCCCACTGCCCCTCAGCCCACTGCCCCTCAGCCCACTGCCCTCAGCCCACTGCCCCTCAGCCCACTGCCCTCAGCCCACTGCCCCTCAGCCCACTGCCCTCAGCCCACTGCCCCTCAGCCCACTGCCCCTCAGCCCACTGCCCTCAGCCCACTGCCCTCAGCTCACTGCTGAGTGGACTGAGAGCACATATACTGTTGCCTCTAGCTAACTCTTAAAATGACTTGATGTATTGAAGATTAAATGCCAGAGAGAGGAGCCGTGTGTGTGTGTGTGTGTGTGTGAGTGAGTGAGGTGGCTCTAGAAGCAGGTCCCAAATCCCCCCCCCCCCCACACTTGGCCCTAACCCTTGGTTTATACAGACTAGCTGTAAGCAATATGGTGGAAGCTCCACTAATGCACTACTTGTACCTATCCAGACCCTACAGATCTGCAAACATCGAAGGGTTAGGGCCAGGGGGCAGGGGGTATGGAGCAATTTGGGAACGTCTAAATCCAACTAGTCGACAAGCTAGGCGACTCACTTGTGGAAGAGTTCCCGGTCCAACATGACGTCATGAAAGGATTCCGATACGGAGCGTTGCAGCTTGTCCATACAGTCCTTCAGTCGTGGGTCGGATGTATTAAGACCAGTCCTCTTGAGGGCCTGATCAAATCAAATCAAACTTTATTTAAATTGCATTTAAAGTCACAAGACACTTTACAGTAAACACCAATACAATGAAGTGGTTAAAATAAACAAAAGGCGATAAAAGAGATGAATAAAAGAAACAAGGGTTTGGTTGGGGAGAAAGGAATTATTATTTTATCAGCCATACTGCAAAGCCATGTTGTAGTTTTATTTAGAGTGTACTGTAAATCATTCTGCCTCGTCATGTCTCTCCACCCCTCTCCAGAACAGGGCAGCACGGCTGGCCCTTAAAAGTACACGGAGAGCTAACATGTCAGTCTCTCCTGGCTCAGAGTGGAAGAGAGATTGACTTCATCACTGCTTGTTTTTGTGAGAGGTGTCGACGAGCTGATTGTACCGAGCTGTCTGTTTGGAATACTGGCACACAGCTCGGACACCCATGCATACCCCACAAGACATGCCACCAGAGGTCTATTCACAGTCCCCAAGTCCAGAACGGACTATGGGATGCGCACAGTACTACATAGAGCCATGACTACATGGAACTCTATTCCACATCAGGTAACTGATCAGATTTTTAAAAAACTGGTAAAAATACACCTTGTGGAACAGCGGGGACTGTGAAGAGACACACACACACAGGCACATACACACATACATATAGATACTCACTCTACACACACGTACACATGGATGTTGTATTGTAAATATGTGATAGTGGAGTAGTGGCCTGAGGGAACACACTAAATGTATTGGGTAAAGTGTTATGAAATAATGTCATGTAATATTTTAAATTGTATATAACTGCCTTAATGTTGCAGGACCCAAGGAAGAGTTAATGGGGATCCTTAATAAATACAAATACAAATGTTGAGTCCACACCTCACACAGTAATTAGTACTGTTACGCGAGGCACTTGGATGTGAACTAACTTTATATGAACTAACTTGAACTCATCTTGAGGCCCACTGACATACATGCATCTTGTTGCAAGTTGAGCACCTGAGTCCCTTTTATTGTCCAAGCTGGACTGAAGCTTGTTTGGGTACGCTTTCAGTCACTTGTTGCAAGTGTTTGGATTCAAACAGTGCAGTAGTGCTGGTGCAATATGAAACACAGATCAAATCAGAGCTTTGACTATCATTAACATCTTCTACAATTGATTATTTCATTTAACAAGTTAGTTATTTTGGGGTAATTTCATTACATGTTGGAAGACAAAACACCCATGTTATTGTTGCATGATGATACAACCTAATCTAGTCTCTCTCTGCAGGGTAATCTTTAGACTGATGTGTTGTGATCTTCACCAGACCCATTCCATCCAGTCCTTCATCAGGCCTGGAGACATGGAGACTATTTAATTCAAATAACATAATGAAATAGCCTACTGTTCCATGATACACCTTATTGTTTCTATTCACTCAATTGTTGCCTACTGTTTCTTGTGACACAGTATACATTGGCAGGGAGGGAGGGAGGGAGCGAGAGAGAGAGAGATTGTGCTTTTGTGTTTGTGGCTGTATGTCTACATCGAGAGAGAGTTTGTTGTCAAGGAGGGTTGTGTGACAAGAGTAACCTTTTTAATTTACAACCTAGTCTTCTTTCCTGTATAGGTTAGCTGATGTGTGTACTTACTCACAGAGATAAAGTGTGAGACGGGGACTTGTTCCTGACCCTCCGTGATGGTGTAGAAGAGCATATCTTCTACCTCTGAGAAGAGACCCTTCCCATTGCTCCTACATATACATACAGTGAAGAGGAAAGTTGTCAGCTTCAAACAACACAGACATACACAACTTGAATGGCTATGTATAGAGTAATGGATGATTGAGGAGAAAGCATTGTTTTGGAGATACAATAACATAGGCCTATATGTGATTCCCACACACAGTAAACTAATATCTGGCAATCAATACATTACACAAATGAACTGTCTGAACTGGACCAATAAAAACACAAACTCACAGTTTGGAAAACACTTGGTCCATGTCTAAGGTTGTTCCGATGCGGTGAAGATCTGTTGAGCTTGAGTTGAAACATTGTGCCGGTTGAACTTTCACATTAGGACGACAACCACGGTAATAAACCCTTATAGCAAACCTTTTTGAAACCTATTTTAGTCGTGTCTTTTAAGGTTTCAACAGCTGCTGCGTTGGTCACCCGTAATATTTTCAAACAGTGCATGGTTACAATAACTTTACAACAATACAAGCAGATAAGGAGAATAACTGCCTTCGGATAACCTTTTAGTTATTTCCGTTACTTTCTCCACTACTTATCCGCAGTCTGAAAGTCGGCTTTGGTCAACCGACTACAGGTAGCTAGGCAGCAATCTCGTTTTCACGTTTGGAACTTGCCATGAGAGCACAGGCAGCGAACTCCGCCGACGACGTCAGAGTATATATAGCTAGGTCATATCACTATAACGTCACAATACCCGTGCAGAGCGTTCGATTTGGCTGTTGGGGTCAAGAAAATCCCCAGCTCCGCTAAAACCATTGACAACTTTGTTAAATAAATGTTATAACTATTTGGTTTTAGTATCATCACCTTGAAGAGCATAGTCAGAACTACATATTTCCCATTACTCCACATTTAGCTCTATCATCGGAGTTATAAAGCAAGTAACTGCATGCTTTTCATGATCCGTAAACTTCGACTTTCCATTTGGCATGTAACGTTAGCTAGCTAAATAAACAATATGTGTCATTTAGCTTGCTTCATCGGAGATAAGGCTTTCGGAAAGGGCTTGACATCCGCAAATCCTCCTCCTGGTAAAGTTGTCAGTCGGACTACTGTCATCACCACTACAGTTTATGGCAAGCAAATCAAACAATATAGCCATCTAGTTTATTCCCTGAATGTTAACTTGTTAACTAGCCATATTGACGTGATCTGTTATTAGCTAGCCAATTTGACATAGTCCATCAGTCAATGTAGCCTATCATGTCTGTCAGCAGCATTATTAAACGCTCTTAAAAACAAAGTTGAAAAGAGGAAAATGTTAGATAACTTCGCTAGGTAGGCCTACTTTGATTGTAGAAAAAGTACATTAGGTCTACTTACCACTGTTTAGCCAACTGTACAAAGTTTCAATCGGTAGCTTACAAAGTAAACATTATCAGCTAACAGTACATCGGCAAATGCTGATAATGTAACTGATAAAGCTAAATGTATTATTTGTTTTGCATGGAATACTCGGACATTTGTAGTTCTGACTACGCTCTTAAAGAGGTGATATTATTACAAACAAATAGTTAACATTTATTTAACAATCCCTTGAAAACGGCACCCAGTTGTCATTGGTTTTAGTGGAGCAGGGAGTCCCGTTGACCCCAGCAGGCAGGTGGAACGCTCTACACCTGCTGCCCAAACCGCCCCCGTTGTGTGCGGGAGCGTTGCAAAAATACATGTACGCTAGTGATGTGCTGTTCACGAAAGATTCGTTATTTTTCATCCACTCCTTTTACTGAATCGAGAGTTGTCTTGTTTTGTATGCTTTGTACAAAATAATAAAATGCAAGACGACAGGATATTTATAAACGTAGCTCTTTATTAACTAGCTATAACTGGCATGTTCATGTGTCTCTGGCCATGATCGTCTTAGAATGACCTCACCACCTGGGTGGTCTTAAGCCAATCATAGCACAGTATGATATGACAGTAGAATGCATCCAATTACAATTCAGTATGCTGACACATATGAATATTACATCCCCCTTCTTTAAAAATAAAATAAAAAATATGTAGAACAAATAAAGCGTGTCTTTTGAATACATGCTCTGTAGTTTGAACTCGAGGTAAGTAACCATTTAAACTGCACCAACTGCATCAACATAACAGACTGAAACAATGATTCAGCATACTGTTACTTTTAGAACAAATATTTCTCAGCAACTCAGCTTCTCACTGTAGCAATGACATCTCAACATATCAAACAAATACAATACCAAAGCATTTCAAGTGAACTTTCAATAACAAGTTTACAGTCCGGAACTCTTTTAGGGCAGCGGTCCGCCTACACCCTTTGACATTTCACAGGTCTAGGACAGCTCTAGGCTTGACCTCTCTTCCTGACCTGGTGTGATATGAAGCTGAGTATGCTTCTGTGTCAATCAACAGTTCTATTCTACTGTCATATCATACTGTGCTATGATTGGCTAAGACCACCCAGGTGGTGAGGTCATTCTAAGATGATCATGGCCAGAGACACATGAACATGCCAGTTATAGCTAGTCAATAAAGAGCTAAGTTTATAAATATCCTGACGTCCTGCATTTTATTATTTTGTACAAAACATACAAAACAAGACATGGTGTCAGAGTAAAAGGACTAAAAGATGGATTTTGCTGGAGTTCCTTCACCTCGAATGGATTGGGGGTCTACAAATCTACCCGATGCATGGCGTAAGTTCAAACAGCATGTGGAGCTGATGTTCACGGGTCCTCTGAAGGAAAGAGGAGAAGAGGAAAAGTGCAGCTACCTGCTCCTCTGGATCGGTGAAAAAGGGAGAGACATTTACAACACATGGACACTTCCGAGGCTGAATCAAAGGTACTGAAAACATACTACGATCGTTTTGAAGCATATGTTGTGCCAAAGACCAATACAATTTTCGCTATGTACAAATTCCATGAGAAAGTACAAGGCGCTAGCGAATTGTTTGAACAGTTTGTCACTGAGCTGCGTCTGCTTGTGAAAGACTGTGATTATGCAAACAAGGATGAGATGGTCAGGGACCGTATTGTATTTGGAATACACTCACCGCGAGTGAGAGAGAAACTTTTGAATGTTGGATCAGAGCTAACGCTGGACAAAGCTATCGACATTGTGGGGATCTATTCTCTTACAACTAGATGTGATGCCTAGCTTAGAAAGAATACATTAATGATTAAACATAATAGGTTTGTGCTGTACTGATATAGATTGTTTAACATAACAAGCTGTGATTAATGTGAGGAACCGTTAGGGGGTAGGCTGAGACAGACTTGTGACTCACACACACACACACTGCCTCTTTGTTAAACTGCTCAAGGACATGTGTACTGCTACAATGAAGAAGAACAAACTATGTCTGAGGTTGCTGACTCGAGACAAGTTGTAAAGATAGCAACTAATGCCCGGCAACAGTGAAGTGCCAAGGGTCTGGGACCAGCCTGAGCGCCAACGATAGGTTGGGTAAGTTTAAACCACACCCAGCCTCTATTCTGACAGGCCCAGCAGGGAGCGGGAACTATCTCTGCCAGAGTATTTAAAGAAGAACTTATAACAACGGCTCAGTTCTCTGACTGCCCTGCGTGGTGTTTCAGTGAGCCCGTATATACGAATCTCATATTTACCATTCAAGTGTTTGCATTAATTAAAATACTAGTCTATCTTAGAAGACGTGTATTGACCTCTTTTTGTTCCTATACCAGATTTGAATTGACGCAACTTGACAACATAGCCAGATCTCACGAGCTAGCACAGGTTCAGATGAAAACCATGTTGGGCGGCAGCACGAGCGCGTCACGTGAACAAGCAGTGGACGCAGTCAGGCAGACATCAAAGCACACCTCCAGTGCCCAGAGAGCATGTTTCAGAACGGAGACAGACAGAACTCCAAAACAGGTCGACACAGACTCCAAATGCCCCAAAACATGTGGATATTGTGGATACAAAGTGCATGGCGAACAGGGGAATTGCCCAGCTAAAGGCAAACAGTGTACTAAATGTGGAAAATGGAATCACTTTGCAAGCAAAAGTGTGCAGAGTTTACCGTGGAAAAACAGTACATACAGTGAGTGAAGATGAAATGTCAATCAAAGAGTCAAATGCTGATGAACTGTTTATTGATTCAGTGACACAGAAAAGTCAGATATCAGAGACAGAGCAAGCCTTTGCTGACATTGAAATAGGAAGACAAGGCACAGAGCTAAAATTCAAACTAGACACTGGTGCACAAGTAAACATTATTCCTCTGAGTAAGTACAGAAGCTTGACATCTGAGTGTGAGCTACAGCCCACCACGCACAGACTGACTGGTTATGGTGGTGAACAGCTCCCAGTAAAAGGCACATGCACTCTCAAATGCAAATACAATACCAAAGCATTTCAAGTTAACTTTCAATAACAAGTTTACAGTCCGGAACTCTTTTAGGGCAGCGATCCGCCTACACCCTTTGACATTTCACAGGTCTAGGACAGCTCTAGGCTTGACCTCTCTTCCTGACCTGGTGTCATATGAAGCTGAGTATGCTTCTGTGTCGGTCAACAGTTCTTGTGGTGTTGCAGGTACGTATGGTGTATGTTGTGTTGGGTCTGTGTTTAGTCCACCCCGTTCTCTTTCAGGGGAACAGTCCATCCCTTCAGTGTGTTGTTCTTTTGTGTTCAGTAGGTGACGACGATTGCGGCGGTACACCGCTCCTTCTGCGGTGCGAACGTGATAGGAACGTTCAGTGTCAGCTGGTTGGATGACGACTGCTGGTTTCCAGTAGCCATGCTCCTGGATTCTAACTGACTCTCCGTCGTTCAGTGGTGGCAGTGGTCTGGCTGACCTGTCGTAGTATCGCTTTTACTGTTGTTGTCTCTGTGCACGTTTTGCATGCATTTCCTTGTAGCTGACGACCTCAGGTTGCAGCTGCTGGTTGGTGCTGGGAAGGTTTGAGCGAAGTCTGCGGCTCATCAACAGCTGGGCTGGTGATTTGAAGTTGTCAACTGGAGTGTTGCGGTATTCAAGGAGACTGAGGTAGGGGTCTCTCTTGTCTGCTTTTGCTTTGTCCATGAGTGATTTAGCGATCTGCACAGATCAACGGAATCATTTTCAAGCTCTTTATTAACTAGCTATAACTGGCATGTTCATGTGTCTCTGGCCCATGATCATCTTAGAATGACCTCACCACCTGGGTGGTCTTAGCCAATCATAGCACAGTATGATATGACAGTAGAATGCATCCAATTACAATTCAGTATGCTGACACATATGAATATCACAAGAGTCATGAATAATTTTTTTCTGAGTGACTCGTTAATTTTTGTCGTTTGTTTGACCTGCTGGGCACAGTGACTACAGCAGGAATTAATATGCTCTCTGGCTCATGGCTCCAGAGACTTGCTCTGACCAACAACTGTACAATAGATCATGCTGCACCGCTGACAGCAATAATATCATAGAGAAGAAAAAGTCATGTTTAGAACTGGTAATTGATCGCATGGTACAATAATAACATTTACATTTACATTTTAGTCATTTAGCAGACGCTCTTATCCAGAGCGACTTACAGGAGCAATTAGGGTTAAGTGCCTTGCTCAAGGGCACATTAACGTCATTTAGCAGACGCTCTTAGCCAGAGCGACTCACAAATTGGTGCGTTCACCCTATAGCCAGTGGGATAACCACTTTACAATTTGGGGGGGGGGGGGGGGGGGGGGGGGGGGGGGTTAGAAGGAATACTTTATCCTATCCCAGGTATTCCTTAAAGAGGTGGGGTTTCAAATGTCTCCGGAAGGTGGTGAGTGACTCCGCTGTCCTGGCGTCGTGAGGGAGCTTGTTCCACCATTGGGGTGCCAGAGCAGCGAACAGTTTTGACTGGGCTGAGCGGGAGCTATGCTTCCGCAGAGGAAGGGGAGCCAGCAGGCCAGAGGTGGATGAACGCAATGCCCTCGTTTGGGTGTAGGGACTGATCAGAGCCTGAAGGTACAGAGGTGCCGTTCCCCTCACTGCTCCATAGGCAAGCACCATGGTCTTGTAGCGGATGCGAGCTTCAACTGGAAGCCAGTGGAGTGTGCGGAGGAGGGGGGGTGACGTGAGAGAACTTGGGAAGGTTGAACACCAGACGGGCTGCGGCATTCTGGATGAGTTGTAGGGGTTTAATGGCACAGGCAGGGAGGCCAGCCAACAGCGAGTTGCAGTAGTCCAGACGGGAGATGACAAGTGCCTGGACCAGGACCTGCGCCGCTTCCTGTGTAAGGCAGGGTCGCACTCTCCGAATGTTGTAGAGCATGAACCTGCAGGAGCGGGTCACCGCCTTGATGTTGGCGGAGAACGACAGGGTGTTGTCCAGGGTCACGCCTAGGCTCTTCGCACTCTGGGAGGAGGACACAGCGGAGTTGTCAACCGTGATGGCGAGATCATGGAACGGGCAGTCCTTCCCCGGGAGGAAGAGCAGCTCCGTCTTGCCAGGGTTCAGCTTGAGGTGGTGATCCGTCATCCATACTGATATGTCTGCCAGACATGCAGAGATGCGATTCGCCACCTGGTTATCAGAAGGGGGAAAGGAGAAGATTAGTTGTGTATCGTCAGCGTAGCAATGATAGGAAAGGCCATGTGAGGATATGACAGAGCCAAGTGACTTGGTGTATAGGGAGAAAAGGAGAGGGCCTAGAACCGAGCCCTGGGGGACACCAGTGGTGAGAGCACGTGGTGCGGAGACAGCTTCCCGCCACGCCACTTGGTAGGAGCGACCGGTCAGGTAGGACGCAATCCAGGAGTGAGCCGCGCCGGAGATGCCCAGCTCGGAGAGGGTGGAGAGGAGGATCTGATGGTTCACAGTATCAAAGGCAGCAGACAGGTCTAGAAGGACAAGAGCAGAGGAGAGAGAGTTAGCTTTAGCAGTGCGGAGAGTCTCCGTGACACAGAGAAGAGCAGTCTCAGTTGAATGACCAGTCCTGAAACCTGATTGGTTTGGATCAAGAAGGTCATTCTGAGAGAGATAGCAAGAGAGTTGGCTAAAGACGGCACGCTCAATAGTTTTGGAAAGAAAAGAAAGAAGGGATACTGGTCTGTAGTTGTTGACATCAGTGGGGTCGAGTGTTGGTTTTTTTGAGAAGGGGAGCAACTCTCGCTCTCTTGAAGACGGAAGGGACATGGCCAGCGGTCAAGGATGAGTTGATCAGCGAGGTGAGGTAGGGGAGAAGGTCACCGGAGATGGTCTGGAGAAGGGAGGAGGGGATGGGGTCAAGCGGGCAGGTTGTTGGGCGGCCTGCAGTCACAAGTCGCAGGATTTTATCTGGAGAGAGAGGGGAGAAAGAAGTCAAAGCATAGGGTAGGGCAGTGTGAGCAGGACCAGCAGTGTCATTAGACTTAACAAACGAGGATCGGATGTCGTCAACCTTCTTTTCAAAGTGGTTGACGAAGTCATCCACAGAGAGAGAGGAGGGGGGGGGGGGGGGGGGGGGGGGGGGATTCAGGAGGGAGGAAAATGTGGCAAAGAGCTTCCTAGGGTTAGAGGCAGATGCTTGGAATTTAGAGTGGTAGAAGGTGGCCTTAGCAGCAGAAACAGATGAAGAAAATGTAGAGAGGAGGGAGTGAAAAGATGCCAGGTCGGCAGGGAATAAATTATGGGCACAGCTTTGTAGAACCAAAAACATACACAGTCTCTGCATGCTTTGGGCATTACTGACTCAAATGAACGAAATGAGTCAGTCAGAAGATTCGTTATTTTTTACTGAAGGAGTCGAAAAGATCAGAGTTATTAAAAAGAGCCGAACTTCCCATTAATAATTTACACATACACGTTATTCACTCATTTCATCCAAACTGCTCGGGTGCGTCAACGTCGTCAGCATAGACAGGCGCTAAAATAGAACTTGTTCTATCAGAGAGGAAGAGGAAAAGAGAGGCCCAACTCGGCGGAAGATCTGTCTTCCTCCAACATTGTGGCGTTTTTTCCATTGTTTCACTCACTAGGCAAGGAATTTTTATATGGAGGTCAATGAGTGTCGAATTTGGTCAACAACAAATAAATGAATGGTTTATTTACTACTTGATGTTTATTGAGGTTTATTTGATCCAAAATAAGTTTCGTACTGCTTAAGGTGTTACGAGTGTACTTATATAAGTAGGACACGTGACAACTTTGAGCGTATCTCTCCATTGAATACAGGCGGCTGACGTCATCAACCCTCATCGAATATTCAAAAAAAGATTACAATAATGAGATGTATCCACCAATCCAAAGAAAGGATAGGCGGGAGCTAGACAGCCGGCCGTGCCACTTTGTTGACAACGACTCCCATTGTTAGGGTGGAGAGACGTGTATCTTGTCAGTATATCCATAACCTTTGGTTCTATTTCAGATGCTTGATGAGCTGCAAGTCCTGCCTCTCCCATCTCCTCATTGGTTTTTAGGACATAGTAATCCATGTGGGTGATTGAAAGATGAATAAGGTACACACTCCAGTCCAGTTGGTGGTGGTATTGCATCTTAAAGTTGGTTGCCAACCGCCATAGAACATCCACAGAAGAAGAAGCAGAAGAACTAACTAGGAGAGATTAATCAAAGAAAGGACCATATGCATTTCGGGTAAAATAACAGCCCAATGTTTATCTCCCAGGACAAATGAGCTAGAAACAGCAAGCTAGCTAAATGTCCATGAATATTTCATGTGCGTTTCGACCTGTCCCCAAATTAATATAGTAAGGTTCACAGTTGGTTTTGGTATTTTAACCTGCGTGTCATGAACGCGTCTGGTGGAGATATACAAAATCAACATGCTCACGATGATACGCTGCTGTTTTGGTCTGGTATGCATGTTATTGTGACGTTTTAAAGATAACAACCTATTATCAGGTCGAGCATTGGTCAGCACAGTGACCAATGGGAAAGTACAATCAAGCTTGAAGACATGGCCTATTCTAGCAGATGACTAACACAAGGTTTGACGCCTTAGATACAATGTATTAAAATACTAAAGTATCTGCTTCATGTAACCATTGACCAACTTAAATGTCACTTTGTTTATAACGGACCGATTTAGGCAGAGGCTGCAGAGCAGAGCATTCGTATGATGAACTGTTTGGTTTAATCAACAGACCAATATGGAGCCTATAGGTTATGTTTTGAAATACTTTGACCAACTCACAGTAGGGAGAAATCATGACAGGCTGACAATGAGCTTCGAAAATCATTCATTGGTCTCATTTTTATTATTTGTGTTCATATAATGGACATCAGTTATTTCAATAAGAACAGCCTTAATTGAACGATGAGTATGTTCAAACTGCTTGTTGTAGGTAATAAAGCTTTTGCCTACAAAGTTAAGAATATTGCTTGAAATTAAGCAACATAGATAATGGTGACTAAAAGGCACAGTAGGTTCCCAAACAGAATAACTATTCAAATATCTATAGGATATAATCTACCTTCAAAACACAGACAGTAGGCCTGTAAAGAAATGCATTGAATTAATTTTTCCAGGTAGAGTTATGATGTGTAGGCTACTCTACATTCTGTAAGTTTAAACTCAAACAATATACTATTTTTTTTTCATTGTTTAGTCTTGTATTGTATAGGTTTGTATTGCATTATGTATTGTATTGCATTGCATTGCATTGTATCCTATTAACTCTTTTAAATGCAACTCTACACACTCTTAGCAGGACGTGGCATCACCAGTTTCAGCCCAATATCGATGACACAGGATGGCATGTAAGGGAGAGGGATCCATCCAAACTTGGCGTCCCAGCCGGCACTGTAGCGGGTACTGGGGTGGGCAGACACCAAGGCATGCTCCACGCAGTTAGTCACTTTACTCAGGTCAAATCAAATCAAATCAAATCAAATTTTATTGGTCACATGCGCCGAATACAACAGGTGCAGACATTACGTGAAATGCTTACTTACAGACCCTTGAACCAACAGTGGCAGGTTATTTTTAAAAATACAACCAACAACAAACAAAGGTAGGTTTTGAGAGAAAAAAGAGCAGAAGTAAAAATACAATAACAGTAGGTAGGCTATATATACAGGGGGGTACCGTTGCAGGTCAATGTGCGGGGCACCGGTCTAGGTGAGGTAGTTGAGGTAATATGTACATGTGGGTAGAGTTAAAGTGACTATGCATAAATAATTAACAGAGTAGCAGCAGCGTAAAAAGGATGGGGTGGGGGGGCAGTGCAAATAGTCCGGGTAGCCATGATTAGCTGTTCAGGAGACTTATGGCTTGGGGGTAGAAGCTGTTGAGAAGTCTTTTGGACCTAGACTTGGCACTCCGGTACCGCTTGCCGTGCGGTAGCAGAGAGAACAGTCTATGACTAGGGTGGCTGGAGTCTTTGACAATTTTGAGGGCCTTCCTCTGACACCGCCTGGTATAGAGGTCCTGGATGGCAGGAAGCATGGCCCCAGTGATGTACTGGGCCGTACGCACTACCCTCTGTAGTGCCTTGCGGTCGGAGGCCAAGCAGTTGCTATACCAGGCGGTGATGCAACCAGTCAGGATGCTCTCGATGGTGCAGCTGTATACTTTTTTGAGGATCTGAGGACCCATGCCAAATCTTTTCAGTCTCCTGAGGGGGAATAGCTTGTCGCCTCTTCAGATGTCTGGGTGTTGGACATGATGTCGTTGGTGATGGACACAAGGACTTGAAGCTCACCTGTTCCACTACAGCTGGATCTCAGTCCTCTTTTCTTAGTCCATCATCCTTGTCTGGTTGGGGAGAGTTTTTCCTGGCACAACACGCCAGGCTTGACTCCTCCCATAGGGTCTCATCGTTGTGTGATCAGGCCAGAGTCACAAGCTGGCATTCATGATCAACCGCTGGATCTGGATAGGTTGGGGGAAAAAAAAGGGATATTGTTAAAACTGTTAAGAATTTGTACAGCCAATGGTAGGACTACAGAGGAGAGGAAAGCGCAGAGGGAAAAGGAAAAGTGAAGAGGAGAGGGGTTGAGGCCTGAAACCAACTGGATGATAAGCTGGCCGTAGTATGATAGCCAGGATGGTCATATTACGTGTAGTCTTGAGACAAATGTCAATGGGATTTTCTACTAATGAGAGTTATGTTGCTCTTTAACACTGTATAATGTTGTACTATTGTAGCTCAGTGAAAAGGGGACTATAAGAGTCTAAGACATTGTTCTACGGCAGGTAAATACCGCAATACGGGTTTGGTTGAATTGAGCTTTGTGATGACTACTATAGATATGTTGTTGTGATAGTACCTGGAAGATTAGCCCTCATTGTGGGCTTACAAAGATCCAAACAAACTATAGTAGCCTACCTGAGGCAGTCTGAGAAGGACTCCAGAGCGAATTTAAGAGATTATCCCCTGCCGTTAGCCGCCACCCTGCCCAGCACTGAGGCAACGTTGATGATCCTGCCGTGGGCCTGTTTGATGAGGGGCAGGAAGGTGCCACGTTGACGATCCTCCCCTGGGCCTGTTTGATGAGGGGCAGGAAGGTGCCACGTTGACGATCCTGCCCTGGGCCTGTTTGATGAGGGGCAGGAAGGTGCCACGATGACGATCCTGCCCTGGGCCTGTTTGATGAGGGGCAGGAAGGTGCCACGATGACGATCCTGCCCTGGGCCTGTTTGATGAGGGGCAGGAAGGTGCCACGTTGACGATCCTGCCCTGGGCATGTTTGATGAGGGGCAGGAAGGTGAGAGTCATCTCTGTCACCCCCCTCATGTTGACCTTCAGGGTAAATTAATTGTGGTCCTCTGTAGCTCAGCTGGTAGAGCACGGTGCTTGTAACGCCAGGGTAGTGGGTTCGATCCCGGGACCACCCATACACAAAAAATGTATGCACGCATGACTGTAAGTCGATTTGGATAAAAGCATCTGCTAAATGGCATATTATTATATTATTACTGGTATAGGCCTTCAGCCTCATCCACTCTGAGGGACCCATGGGCAGGGAGCGCCCCTCGTTGTTCACGATACCCCACAGTCCTGGAAGAGGGGGAGGAGAGAGAGAGATATGAAGATATTGTTTAATAAGAAATGTTTTCAGCTTTGGATTCACTGTGTATTTCAAGTCAAGTGCATCTGTTTTATTTGACACAACTGCTGTTTAAGTCATGCGTAGGCCCATGTGTTTTTCTTGACCCTTCGACCAGACTAGGATAGGTTACAGCTAGGAAACATAGTTTTTACTAGTCAGGAACATAGGTGGAAAAAACTCCTGGCCCTAGCAGTGAGTAACATAAACCCCACTCCATATGGTCTCTCAACGTTATCTCCAACTTCCTGCTTGGTGTACTCCATGGCTTTCTGTATACTGGCGGTGCTCGTCACATCTAGGAGAACCGTCTTCATGTACGGCCCAGTCGCACTCTTCAGATCATCAGCCCCTTTCTCTGTCAGACACCCAGCTATCACCCTGAACCCCCCGCCGGTCCAGCCTCTTACAGAGCAAGTTCCCAAAGCCAGAGTCACACCCCGTCACACCAACACATACTTCTCCTTGATGTTCTCTACTTTCAGACTGTCTCTGTACAGCCAGCCTAGCGTCCACAGAACCGCGAAGGTAGCAACGCCATAGATTATCCCTGCTGGGGAAGAGGAGAGCACAGTGAGGGGTTGTAGGGTGGTAGCGAGGGTGAAATATGAAGTTGATAGAATGGTAGTTAAGACCTGACGTTAATATCAAATCAATATCTACGTTTGGTATTTGATTGAGTTGTCAACAACCATGAAATGAACTTGAAGCAAACCAAACCTTGAAGTCCCTGAATCGTTATTGGTTTGTGCTTGAAATCTAGGTTGAAATTAGACTGTATGTTGATGGCTTTTTTTTGCAAATGCAACAAAACAAATTAATTGATGTTCAACGTCATGTATGTTGAAATATGACATTGATAGAATGTCATGCCAATATTATGACATTGATCAAAAAGTGAGTGGGTTTTTTCATGCGGGTTCACATAGGCATTTCCAAAAGAACAATCCTAGGAATTAAATGGAATCAATAAATCTTACCCTAAATACTGGTACACAGAATCAATATCCATGAGGTCTGGGAGAGAATTTTATGGAGGTGTAGAAAAATTAATCCCTGCAGGAAGTGTTAGGCTTGGAAATAACACACATTACAAATGTTGTCAACGCTACCTTAGCAAGTCGTGTTCAGTCGAACCTGTTGCTGTAGTCTACGTGTCCTGCTGTAACATTGTATGCTGATCAGCTCCTATATCTCTGTGCTTATTTGTGTAAATATTCACTGAAGTGGTCATTGCCAGATACAGGTCTGTTTGCCTTTTTTGGATTCTCCCTGACGTTGAGGAGCCCCCCCCCTTATTGGGGGTGTCTTGCTAATTGCCTATAATTTCCACCTGTTGTCTATTCCATTTGCACAACAGCATGTGACATTTATTGTCAATCAGTGCTGCTTCCTAAGTGGACAGTTTGATTTCACAGAAGTGTGATTGACTTGGAGTTACATTGTGTTGTTTAAGTGTTCCCTTTATTTTTTTGAGCAGTGTATTTAAGCCTCTCAAAACCTATTAGCCTCCCAGCAGACTTATTAGGCCTGGGGTGGAATAGATTGGGACATCCTGGAATCACACGGGAGAAAGGGAAGGAAGGTGCACGGACCAAGGAGGATTTTGGGGGTACAGACAGTCACACAAATACACCAATAAAAACACCTGTTGGAGGGGATATTACCCGGCACACTTGTAACTACAGTATGTTAGCCATAAAATCACTAATTAAATGTACATCACATAGGTCGACCGGTTGATATATTTGATGGTGAGAGGACAGTAACTATTGTGATGGTAAGAGGAGAGTAATTAGTGTGATGGTCAGAGGACAGTAACTAATGTGATGGTTAGAGGATAGTAACTAGTGTGATGGTGAGAGGACAGTAACTAGTGTGATGGTTAGAGGACAGTAACTAGTGTGATGGTGATGGATAGTAACTAGTGTGATGGTGAGAGGACAGTAACTAGTGTGATGGTTAGAGGACAGTAACTAGTGTGATGGTGATGGATAGTAACTAGTGTGATGGTGAGAGGACAGTAACTAGTGTGATGGTTAGAGGACAGTAACTAGTGTGATGGTGAGGATAGTAACTAGTTTGCACCTCTTTGTTTGAGGCGGGAATAAAGGACTTAACATTTGACATTTTAGTCATTTAGCAGACACTCTTATCCAGAGCCACTTACAATTAGTGAATTAATCGTAAAATAGGTGAGACAACAACATATCACAATTGTAGCAAGTACAATTGTTCATCAAAGTATTTATCAGGAAAGTAAGTGCATTGTCTTTTTGGTCTCATCTCTTTCTGTGCTGTTTGCACCTTTCCATTTACACACACCAAGCCCCTCCCCCTGCCTCTCACAACAACGACGATGACAGGTCACATCTTCCTCTCTGACAAGCGGTTTCAACACGCTATTTGCATTTGAGGTTTGGTCCAACAGAATCGGTCATATGGACAACGAAACACATTTGAGACATTATTTTACTGTAATAGAGGAGAAGTGAATCTTTCTACCGATACCCTTTTTATGTCTCAACTCCTCAAATTGAGCACAGAGCAGACACTACTAAAACGGGAGTATCAATGAACATTGATTCTGGAAAAGTAATGCTCAGTTTGTCGCACGCGGCATTGAGGTACCACGTATCGCCAGCAGCATTTTATACTAGCTGTCTAGTCTGTGTTCTATAAATGTGCAATAAGCATAAAACAGAATTATATCAGGAATTGGCAACTTGTTCTTATTCTGAGAAATAAGGTAGGAGGTGGGGAGGAGGAATTATGCGAAGGGCCCAGTAACTACAATACATTCAGGGACCAGTAACTACAAAACATTCAGGGACCAGTAACCACAATACATTCAGGGACCAGTAACCACAATACATTCAGGGACCAGTAACTACAATACATTCAGGGACCAGTAACCACAATACATTCAGGGACCAGTAACTACAATACATTCACGGACGAGTACATTCTGACATTCATTCCATTTAAAACAACAAAAACAAAACATTATCAGTTGATGTCAAAATGTCAAGACCAATCCATGGAAAATGTATAAACAGCTCTGGAAAAAATTAAGAGACCACTGCAAAATTATCAGTTTCTCTGGATTTACTATTTATAGGTATGTGTTTGGGTAAAAATAACATTTTTGTTTCATTCTATAAACTACTGACAACATTTCTCCCAAATTCCAAATAAAAATATTGTCATTTAGAGCATTTATTTGCAGAAAATGACAACTGGTCAAAATAACAAAAAAAATGCAGTGTTGTCAGACCTCGAATAATGCAAAGAAAATAAGTTCATGTTCATTTTTAAACAACACAATACTAATGTTTTAATTTAGGAAGAGTTCAGAAATCAATTTTTGGTGGAATAACCCTGATTTTCAATCACAGCTTTCATGCGTCTTGGCATGCTCTCCACCAGTCTTTCACATTGATTTTGGGTGACTTTATGCCACTCCTAGCGCAAATATTCAAGCAGCTCGGCTTTGTTTGATGGCTTGTGACCATCCATCTTCCTCTTGATCACATTTCAGAAGTTTTCAATGCGGTTCAGGTCTGGAGATTGGGCTGGCCATGACAGGGTCTTGATCTGGTGGTCCTCCATCCACACCTTGATTGACCTGCCTGTGTGGCATGGCGCATTGTCCTGCTGGAAAAAACAATCCTCAGACTTGGGGAACAATGTCAGAGCAAAAGGAAGCAAGTTTTCTTCCAGGACAACCTTGTACATGGCTTGATTCATGCGTCCTTCACAAAGACATCTGCCCGATTCCAGCCTTGCTGAAGCACCCCCAGATCATCACCGATCCTCCACCAAATTTCACAGTGGGTGCGAGACACTGTGGCTTGTAGGCCTCTCCAGGTCTCCGTCTAACCATTAGACGACCAGGTGTTGGGCAAAGCTGAAAATTGGACTCATCAGAGAAGATGACCTTACTCCAGTCCTCTACGGTCCAATCCTTATGGTCTTTTGCAAACCTCAGCCTGGCTCTTCTTTGCTTCTCATTGATGAAGGGCTTTTTTATAACTTTGCACGACTTTAGCCCTGCCCCTAGGAGCCTGTTTCGAACCGTCCTCGCCGTGCACTTCACCCCAGCTGCCGTTTGCCATTCTTTTTGTAGGTCATTTGATGTCATCCTACGGTTGTTGAGTGACATTCGAATGAGTTGGTCATCCCGGTCAGTAGAGAGTAGTTTTCGCCCTCTGCCGGTCTGTAGCTTTGTTGTCCCCAATGTCTGCTGCTTGAACTTGTTCTTATGAACCGCCGTCATTGGAATTTTAAGGATGGAAGCAACCTGACGCTCACCTCTGCCAGTAAAGCCAGAATTGAACCCTTCTTTTCCTCACTCAAAACTTTTAGTATGGTCAATACTTATTTTTTGATTGATATTACTTTTGAGATACTATTAGCACTGTTTTTGCCATCCAGCTGGTCCTATTGTAAGAGGATAGTGATGACCACAGCAGTGGTTTTTATACTTTTCCTCGTTAAATAAGATTTGGTTCAGGTGATCACCTAATCAGTACCTAATTCAGTAGAATGAGGTGTGCCTGTGTTGGAATTTAACAGACACTGGAATGGAATGGCTGTCATACATGTAGAGATGCTGATTTAAGAAAACTTTGCAGTGGTCTCTTAATGTTTTCCAGAGCTGTATATATCTTCAGACTGTCAGTATGTAGCTGTCAGTATGTAGCATTGCACAATTGAGAGCATCCTGTCAGGCTGTATCACTGCTTGGTACGGCAACAGAACCGTCCGCAACTGCATTGCTCTCCAGAGGGTGGTGGGGTCAGCCCAACGCATCACCAGGGGCACACTGCCTGTCCTCCAGGACATCTACTGCACCAGGTGTCACAGGAAGGCCAAGAAGATCATCAAGGACCTCAGCCACCCGAGCCAAGGCCTGTTCACCCCACTACCATCTAGAAGGCGGGGACAGTACAGGTGCATCAAAGCTGGGACAGAGAGACTGAGAAACAGCTTCTATCTCCAGGCCATCAGACTGTTAAATAGTCACTACTAACCTTAGTCACTGTTCTAGCCAGCTACAACCCGGTACTCTACCCTGCACCAGACTGCAGCCCTATGTAGTATATGAATAAAAAAGTGACGAGTGTTCAATGACTGTCTTTACACACCATTATATATCCTGAACAAAAATATAAACACAACATGCAACAATTTCAAAGATTTTACTGAGTTACAGTTCATATAAGGAAATCAGTCAATTGAAATAAATTCATTAGGCCCTAATCTATGGATTTCACGACTAGGAATACAGATATGCATCTGCTGGTCACAGATACCTTTAAAAAAACGTAGGGGCGTGGATCAGAAAACCAGTCAGTATCTGGTGTGACCACCATTTGCCTCATGCAGCGTGACACATCTCCTTCGCATAGAGTTGATCAGGCTGTTGATTGTGGCCTGTGGAATGTTGTCCCACTCCATTTCAACGGCTGCGAAGTTGCTGTATATTGGCGGAAACTGGAACACGCTGTCGTACACGTCGATCCAGAGCATCTCAAACATGCTCAAT